GTGAGTCAGTGTTTTTTTTTTCGAGCGACGGAGGTCGGTAATGCTTAGTCATCAACCATCACGCCGACTTTTTATCGCTTGGGATCGTGGCTTTGAAACAAGTTTCGTTTGTTACATAAAACTGTTCATCATTATCCTCAAAGTTTTTCCTCGAAAGCAGATATTTTATAAAAGAAATTATTCCGATAAAAGGTGAAGGTAATTTTGTAAAAACAACTTCAAAAACTTCTTTACAAATTAACAAATTGTGATACACATTCAAACAAAATTGAAACAAATTTATTACTATAACTTACAACGCCTAGAACATTAATTTATAGTTGCGACACATATTTTTATATGTGCATTTTAGTTATGTACTTAATAAATACTCACAGGCAAAATAATCGATCCACACAAATTTTCGATGAATTTCAATCGCAAATAACTTTTTTATTTAATGTCGGATTTAATCGAATATTAAAGAATATTGTAGATAAATTAATGGAACATCGCTCACATTTTAAAAAACTACTAAAAAATAGAAGTGCGTTTATAATATACAGGTTTAAACAAAAAGATGTTTTTTACCATAAGTTTAAGACACTCTGTAGAGTGGCAAAACCGTATATTGTTCTAAATTAAGTTTTATTTATCAAGTCACTTCTATTCTTAACAGTTTTGTTTTTGGTTCACCTCGATATATTTATTTTTGTGGAAAATATGGATTTTTAAAAAAACATTGCAATTTCCAATATTTTTCTGTATGAAGAACTAAGGTTGCTATGATCCATCCATATGCTATGGAGAATCGTCCCATACTTGGACATGTCATACACGGCTTTCAAAAGCTATCAAATTGTTTTTTGCAAATTAATGTTTAAATTTTGAGGTGTCCTCTCACTTTAACAGATAGAAACCCCGACTGATGTTGCCAGAGCCATTAATTTAATCCAAGATGGACGGTCACAGTATTACGTGGCAAGTGTTTTAAACGCCACAAGAAGTAAAGTACAAAGGGCAACATCAGTCGGAGACATTTTTAAAAGTAAGAAGACACCTCAAAATTAACACATTAATTTACAAAAAACAATTTGATAGCTTTTGAAAGCTGTATATGACATTTCCAAGTATGGGATGATTTAACAAAACTGTCACTGTCATCCTCCGTAGGCTATGGATGGACCATAGCAACCTTAGTTCTTTATACAGGAAAAATATTGAAAATTGCAATGTTTTTAAAAAAAAATCCATATTTTCCAAAAAAATAAATATATCAAGGTGAACCAAAAACAAAACTGTTAAAAATAGATGTGACTTGATAATTAAAACTTAATTTAGAACAAAATACGCTTTTGTCACTCTACAGGGTGTCTTAAACTTATGGTAAAAAAAACATCTTTTTGTTTAAACCTGTATATTTTAAACGTACGTGTATTTTTTAGTAATTTTTAAAATGTGAGCGATTCTCCATTAATGTATCTACAATATTCTTTAATATTTGTTTAAATCCGAAATCAAATAAAAAAGTTATTTGCGATTGAAATTCATCGAAAATTTGTGTGTATCGATTATTTTGCCTGTGAGTGTATATAATATTTCATGAACGCGATGCTCCATTGGTTCCGACTGTTCAAATACCATCGGTTCACTTGCAGCTGCTTCGATTACCCAAATGATTAATTATATAGGGTTGTCCAAAAAAAACCGTAACATTTTCCAACGAAGGGAATTTTTAATTTTTTGGAATGAACCCTTTTCTAGTTTTTAAATTTATAAATTGTTTTTATGAAAAGTAATTATATTACTAAAAAATAAGTGTTTTGTTTTTAGATTTTTAAAGCAAAAACGCATTTACACATTTAATTTTTAACTTTTGTTTTCGAGGACAACTAGGACTAGGATTTTTTACATCAATATTGAACTTAATTTAAAAATATTTCTTTCCGTGTATCAGAAAATAATAGTGGCATTGAATGGCTGTGATCCAGTGTTATCGCGTAAAATATACAATAAATCAAAACATTGCCCAACAATAAATGCGCAAACAAAGATTACCAACAAATTAAATAATAAAATCTGAAGTTGATTAACGACTTGACTAATTGCAGTAAAAAAGTTAATAACATGCAATGAATACCAATCTAATAAGCTGACCTCGTTTCGTATAACTAATTATGCCGTGTGATATTTTTATCGCGACCTGTGCCAGGTTTTCTAGGCACGTTAAACAAAACTTTCAATCGCCCACAAATCCGTTAAGAGAGATTTTACCACTCCCACGCAACGCCAATCCAAACTGGTTTTTATTCTTTGCAATGAAACTGGATTTAAATGCTAAAAGTATTGTTATCATTCTCTCCATCGTGGTACAAGAAAACAAGGTAGGTATACCTATATATACAGTGTGACCCATTTGTTTGCGACTCACCCCTGTAAAATCTTTATTTATTGTGCGATTTTAACCGGATTTGTTTTAAAGTGTAGATCTTGATAAACTGTATTTTAGGAACAAACAACGCCATATTTGTACAAAATACAAGGCCTACTATGTCAGTTTTTAAGAGTAAATTTTTAAGAATTCATATTAGCGTTTTTTTTAAACAAAATTTAAGCATGACATTGGATTCACCACCCCTCAAAACGACCCTTTACTAAATTTTATTAAAAAATTTTAAGGAGAAAAATGCACAATAATAACTACAAAAAGTCATTCTGTTAAGTCATCCATAAAAAAACATTGAAATAAAATTAAACTTATAGTAGGTACCTTCTTATAGCAACTATCTTTGAAGTAAATGGAACAAGTACAAGCTACAAAACATTAACCTAAATTATTTTTTATTTATACAGCGTGTCTCAAAAGTCAAGGACAACAGAAAAGGGGTGTATGCACGGAGAAAAAAATATAATAAATGATATTAGAAATAGAATACTATTTATTATATTTTACGTTAAATATAGTGACAGCTAAATCGTATGATAAATTTTAAAATAAAAATAAAATTAAGATATATTGTAAATATAATAATATTTTATATTAAACTGCTTTAACATATTACTTTATTTGTATTAAATATTTAGTTAAAAGTGTAAAATTAATAAATGATATAATACTACTTAATCAACCGTATCATAACTTCAATCATATGACGATTATAATATTTTTATTATACTTATTAAGATCCAGTTTTTTAATTAATATAATAATTTAATTTACTTTCTATTGTACAAATTTTAATATACGTTTTTTAACATACATTTTTCTCCGTGTGGTGTTTCGATCAGAAGCACAAATGGGACAAATATGCCTTTTCTTTTTGTTATTTTTTTTAACTTGCGACTTAATAAATAAGTTAATTCAAGGTTGCTGGGGATATACTTTACTTTACTTTTTTTAAGTAAGTTAAAATAATTATTTTATTAATATTAATAATTATTAATTTTAACATTATTATTTCATTAATGTAATAATCACAATGCACACAACAAACCCTGTTTTATCTTGTTTCGCGCATAAAAAAAATCACTTCAGCACAGAATCTAACGGCGGCCCTTTTTATGTTTATACAGATTAAACCACAATCCACACGTACTAAAAATACAAAAAATCACTGCAACACTGCACAGTTTAACGGCGGCCATTTTTGTTGTTTACAATTTTTGTGCTTTGGGTTTGTGCTCTGTTTATACAGATTAATAATCGTTTTAAACGTTGTGTTTCTCATAGTAAGCCTTAAAAGAGGCCTTAAAGTGCTAAGAACAACCATTTTACTCCTCTATTGTAAAAAATAAACTGTATTCTATCAGGGCTGTCATAAAACTGTCAAATGTCAATTTTAAGGTTAAATTATAACCCACAAATGAACCTTCAAATTGTCATTTGACAGCCCTGATAGAATAAGGTATATTTATTATAAAAGAGGAGTAAAATGGTTGTCCTTAACACGTAAAGGCCTTATTTGAGGCTTACAAGTGCCGCTGTAAGAAACCCAACGTTTAAAACAATTATTAAACAGCACAAACCCAAAGCACAAGAATTGTAAACAACAAAAATGGCCGCCGTTAAACTCTGTGCAGTGTTGCAGTGATTTTTAGTATTTTTAGCATGAGATAGAACAGACCTTGTTGTGTGGATTGTGGATTAAACATCGTTTTAAAGGTTGTGTTTCTTACACACTAGTAAGTCTCAAATGAGGCCTTTTAGTGCTAAGAACAACCATTTCAAACCGTATTCTATCAGGGCTGTCATCAAACTATCAAGTTTAAATTTGTGGGTTATGGTGAATTAACCTTAAAATTGAAATTTGACAGTTTAATGACAGGTTTATTTTTACCAAAAGTGGAGTAAAACGGTTGTTCTTGGCACTTTTAACACAACGTTTAAAACGATTATTAATCTGTATTAGGGCCACCAATTTTCCCTAAAAAAAGAATGTGTCAAGTTAAAACTAACCTAAAAACTAAAACACTGACAGTGACAATGTCAACCATATAATTTTACACTACCATTTTATATAGAATTTCTAATATTAAGCGGCACATTATAGTTCTCCCACCTCTTTTAATTCTGCTAAAACACGCCTGTGATTGGCTACTTTATTTTATTAATAACTTTTCTCCTCGACTTTTGAGACAACCTGTATATTTGCCACAGATAATCTGTGTATACCTCTAGAAAACTACTGCTATTTAATTGTTTTTAAAATAAATCTACTTACTATCCTTAACATCAATTTTTTCAAGCCCATACTAAGGAAATGTATTGGATTCTCAGGTTTTTTTTCATTTGGCTTCGTTTTTATAGATTTTCACTTGGCAGGTAGACATTTTTACACTAACGAAACTTTAAACATACCTTGTTTTCTTGTACCACGCTCGTCCAACGAACCACATAAACAAAATCGCACGACCAAAGTCTGGATATTGCGGGGGCCGTTGGAATGCAATGTGGTTCATTGGACGATGTAAAGACAGCCTTTATTATTATTATTGTTACTAATTTGACGTTGTTGTTGCAGATGTAAAAACCAGAAAACGGAAACAACCTCCAAGGGAAAGCGCAGCAAAGAAACCGCCCAAGCAAGTGAAGAAACGGAAGGCTTACAAGAAGAAGAAACTCTTAGAGGAGGCGAACAACAGCAAACTGCGACGTGAGGTCGAAGTGAGGGTCGAGGACTGTTTGCAGAACGCTGAAGCTCTAGCGTTGCTCTCGAAGCAAAGTGCAATAAAGGAAGATTTAAAGGCTGAAATAGAGGAAGAAGTAGTTTGTGAGGATGCCGAATTAGTGCAGGTGTTTGTGCAGAAAGATGAGGAGTGTGTACCAGTGTCTGAAGCGGTAATTTGTGAGGTTGGTGTCGTGAGCCAAGAGGAACCACAAAAACAGGAAGAAGAAGTTACAGAAGAAGCTAGTGATAGGAAGGAAGACATTAAGGAGGTTAAGACGACAGTCGACGATGACAAATGCAACAGGATGGACCTCAGTGATCAGGTGGTGAACGCGACTAGTGGCCACGTGGTTTCGTTGCTGCAACTGCATCAGCTCAGGAACAGCATCCCGGATGACCGCAGTGACTCGGGGTTGAGCTCGCTAAGGTCCGGTAGCGGCGATGAGCGCTCTGGATCGAGATCCAGCGCCTTGAGTTCCACTGACGAACAGCCCGTCGTCACCGCTACACCGCAACATCTGCTATCGACGAGCGGAAACGGAAGTGCGTCTTCCGCGTCGTCCACCTCGTCTCAGGTGAGTTCAAACCGACCGCACTCCATGCTGGACCACTTAAGCTGGGTTTATACAATATTTGATAATTTAGTGAACAATTTATTTCAATAGGATATAGGACAGTTATCGGACACTTTATAGTTATTGGACAATTAACATTAATACTGTAAAAACAAGAGTTCTATAAATAGTTACCTTAAAGTCAAATCATTAGATTACGCTATATACAATTATAACTATCTCAGTCGGTAATAATATAGAATTACTTTATCTTTGGTCCAATATACCTAGGACAAAAAAGTTCGCACGTTACTTTGTTGTTCTTTTGTGCAGGGATTTGTTTAAATTACAATAAAAAATATTTCTAAAAAGTGTACAGATCAGTGTGTGGTATTGTTCCTCATGGTTTAAACATTAACACTTTAATGCGTTTTAATTTTAATTCTCAAAACAAACAGTAAAATGGCCAGTGTCCAACTACTGGTTGGTAAAAAATGTAAATTTCTAGTATTGGACATATGTCCAATATCATACTCTATTTATATCCCGGACATTTACCAGCCAATTCTTATGTAAAATTGTTCCCTGAATTCGAAAAGACCGTCAAAAACTATAAAAGTTAAGCAGTTTTTGAGATATAGTCAATTCTATATTATATGTAAAATTGATTATATTTCAAAAACTGTTCTACTTTTATAACTTTTGACGGCATTTTCGGATTCAGCGAATAATATTTCATAGAAATTTTGGATAAAAATACTTCAACTTATATCTCAGTTTACGTGTTTGAGGGTTTTTTGAGAATAGTTATTTGTTTTAGTGTTGAAAAGCGACTTTTTCATGCGAGTTTTTAAGTTGCCCACGAGGCCGTTAGGCCGAGTGTGCATTATTAACACGAGCTTGAAGAAAGGTTTTCTCACAAGTATAACACAAGGTTTTTTCTGCGACCCTTTTATTTTTTATTATTTTTAAATACAAAACAAAATAACCTAAAAACTTTTTTGACAGCTGAATGTCAAACGATGCTTTCCGTTTCTTTTCACACAGACCTGTCACTTTTCACACATAAATGTCACTTAACATTCATGTTTTGCCTTGCCAATGAAAAGATTCATTTTCTAAGCAACGATGCCATCATGAAAAGTGACTTTTACATAGTGGTCGTAGAAAAAATATTTTTAAAGCCCATTTTTTTTAAATTAAAAAAATGCTCGAAAAATAATTTTTAGGGATTTTTTTTTCAAGTAAATAAAAAATATACTGTTAAAGACCGTATTTTTGTATACTCTGAAAGTTTTGTACAAATCAAATGAATAGTAACGAAGATACAGCGATTCAAAGTCGTTAAAAATTACCACTTTTCAGCAAAATAATCAAACAGGGGGCATTTTTACCGACTTTGAAGCGATGTACCTATCTTCGTTACTGTTTATTTGATTTGTACAAAATTTTTAGAGTATACTATACTAACAAAAATACATTCTTTGACAGCATATTTTTTATTTTCTTGAAAAAAAATTTCCCTAAAATTTATTTTTCAAACGTTTTTTTAATATTAAAAAAATGGGCTTTAAAAATATTTTTTCGAAAAACCCTCAAACACGTAAACTGAAATATGTATAAAATGAAGTATTTTTATCCAAAATTTCTTAAAGATTAATAAAGGCGTTTTGGAGTTAGATTTTTTTTAAAGTGGTTGCTCTAATTATGGCCACTACTGTATAAATTTTAAATAAATAATATTCCCCAAGTGTCCAATAACTATGTGGATTACCCTAGTATTTTTAAGGCACAAACACAAAACACAATAATTATTAATTATTACCTTAAAAAATGGATAGAGAAAAATTGTTAGCACATGCGCTGTTAAATCTTATTTATAATTCATAATTTGTTTCATAAAAGTTAAATTTTGTGAACTTTCAAGGTTATTCAATAAACACTTAATTGTGAGTTACGGATTAAATCGTTGTATAAACTGTTTCATAGCAGATAGTACGACTTAAATTTTATGCTTATGCACTAAATTGTGAATTATGAAATGAATTAATGATATAAAGTTGGTGATTATGAAACCCTATATTTTTAAATATTCGAATATAACGTGAATTTGCAGTGCAAATAACATTCCCTTCGCAACTAATTTAAACTTCGATGATAATTCAAAACTTTAAAACATTTAAAGTGTGAAAAAAATCGGATCATAATTCTATCCAATCTAAAGAATAAACAAAGTGATTAAACCAACCCACGCAATAGCATTTAAAAATAAAGTGCTGACATCAAAACGCTAAAGAATGTGCTCGACGATTTCAGTTTGGTTAACTATTATTAATATTAATAATAACAAATCGTGTATTCAAGGTCAACACTTTTGACCCAGATCAGTTTTTTTAATTACAGTAATCACGAACACGAAGTCTATTACTAATGGAATGTTTTCTGGAAATGAACAACAAAACAATTTATTTCTATTTTTGACGGTATTTGTAAACAATATAAATCACCATCTGTTGCCGTTTTAGCATTTTCCAATTTGGCAGTTAAACACTATCGATTGATGTCCCCCATTCTAATAAAGCTAAATACGGGCGTGTGTCGTAACAAAGGAACTGGTCCTAAGGTCAACGACCTATGTACACAAATATATCTCGTACCCTTCATTTTAGCTTGTGCACATTCTATTCACTTCATAATGACCCAGTTTTGCATAATACATTTTAAGAAAACCATAATTGAACAATAGATGTAAGAAATAAAGTCTTTTTGGTTTAAAACAAATATATTAAATTCAAAGTACAATCCAGTAAGTACAAAATATATGTCTTATTTCGTCGAGTGGTTATTCAAAACTAACTATTACATTTCTTGCTACAGTAAAACTCCCAAAAATGCTGACGAAGACCATCCAGCTTCCACGTGCCAACCTTGTGATTCTGGGTCGCACACAAAGACCGTACAGTCGGCGTAGGCTGGGATGTTTATGCTTATACATTAAGAGTCAGCAACGGAATATTTCTAACATTCGGCCATCCTAACATGCGGGATGTCCCAGACCGCCTCTTAACTACCTGTCAAAACAAACATAATAACTAAACAATTAGACAGTGTCGGACTAAATTGTTATCTCAACTCGAAATGACTAAATTACTAATTCCGATAACAACTAAGCAGTATCGGCTTCAATTGTTATCTCACAATAAGTAGGCAGTATCGGCCTAATTATCCCCTCCGATAACAAATAAGCGGTATCGGCTTCAATTGTTATCTCAGAATAAGTAGGCAGTATCGGCCTAAATATCCACTCCGACAACAATTAAGCAGTATCGGCTTCAATTGTTATCTCAGAATAAGTAGGCAGTATCGGCCTAAATATCCAATCCGACAACAATTAAGCAGTATCGGCTTCAATTGTTATCTCAGAATAAGTAGGCAGTATCGGCCTAAATATCCAATCCGACAACAATTAAGCAGTATCGGCTTCAATTGTTATCTCAGAATAAGTAGGCAGTATCGGCCTAAATATTCTCCCGACGACAAATAAGCAGTATCGGCTTAAATTGTCATCTCAATTCCGAATAAGTAGGCAGTATCGGCCTAAATATTCTCCCGACGACAAATAAGCAGTATCGGCTTAAATTGTCATCTCAATTCCGAATAAGTAGGCAGTATCGGCCTAAATATTCTCCCGACGACAAATAAGCAGTCTCGGCTTAAATTGTCATCTCAATTCCGAATAAGTACATAGTATTCTAATCATCGTTAACCACTGTTTCATCTTATCAGTCGCTACTACCATACACAAGTTTTTGCCGTTAAAACTTTAATGGTCCTCTATATTTGTGGAACAACTTTTTGGTGGACCCGGTAGAAATTTCACTTATTAATACGCGTCTAAATCACCCACATTCAAAACGTGATGATTTGCGTTGACATTTATCGTAACGTTCTTTCTGCTTGAGCTGGTCATGGTTAATGTGATGTTTACTTTATCTTAATTAAACGCAGCACTAAGAACACTTTAGATTTCTTTTATGAAAGGGTCGCGTATGATTCACAAAATAGACTAAATGTCTTCAACGTAATGGCACTTGCACGATCGCTGATAATTCGCGGCGGTACACCGAATATACAGTGTATTCTATACACATAATATCCTTTTTTATAAATTGTTATTGATGGTTCCACAACACCCAAATAGTTTTTCACAAACTTGCAACAGTACCTTGCCAACTCGAAAACTTGCCTTTTTTCTTTAACTGTCTTTGGTTTTACTCAATCTCAACTCTAGTTAGGACATTCCCTTGCACGGTGAGGTCCTCTACAATTAAAACACTTAACTTGTTTTTGCTGAGTTCCACTAGTAGTCGCTTTTTGTTCTTGAGATTCTTCTTCGTCTCTAGATGCTTTACGACCCCCGTCACTCTTAAAACTTTTTGGCATGTTGCCCAGCGAACTTAAATAAGCATACAATTCATTTGTATTATTAAAGCGCGAGGAACGAACGGATCTTGCGATGTTTTCGTCTGTTATACCTCCGATAACAGCATCTACTAAATAAACTTCAGGGATTTTAATTTTTAAAGCTCTTAGCTTGTCCAACTTGTTAAAGCAATATTCGCTAAAATTTTGATTACTTTGCGTTTCGTATGTGGCAGCATCTCTTAGCAATTTGGAAAATGGTAAAGGTTTAGTAAATTGCTTTACCAACAACTTCTTCATTTTCTTCCACTTCACCGCTAACTGCTCCTGTGAATCGTACCATCTTCGAGCCATACCCACTAATCGATTTGTCACTAATCTAATTATTGTCAAATCATCCCATTTATAACACTTAACGAGTTCATCAACACGGCGCACCCAAATTTCGATTGATTGGTCTGCCTTTTGCGGGTCAAACACGGGGATCATCTTTTCTTCTCCGTAGTTACTCGTACCGAAGAAATGTACATTACCCCTAATTGCCCGTCGCTTTTTCTGTCTCCTCGATGTCTCCTGCTCGTCATCGCTAGAACTGCTCGATGTATTCGATAAGGGACTTCTCTTGCGTCGAGCCTTTGCTTTCACTTTCTTCTGTTTCTTTTGTGGTGTAGATGGTCTAACATCGGAAGAATCGCTTGAAGATTCAGAGACAGGAACACTCATTGATGGGGACACTGGCGGAGTGGTTCCGTCGGGTTTCGACATAATAATGCAATACTTCGCAACACTTAAAACTCTTGTAGGGTTAACGTGTAGATAAATCCCACTTCTGATTTGTAAGAAATAAAGTCTTTTTGGTTTAGAACAAATATATTAAATTCAAAGTACAATCCAGTAAGTACAAAATATATGTCTTATTTCGTCGAGTGGTTATTCAAAACTAACTATTACATTTCTTGCTACAGTAAAACTCCCAAAAATGCTGACGAAGACCATCCAGCTTCCACGTGCCAACCTTGTGATTCTGGGTCGCACACAAAGACCGTACAGTCGGCGTAGGCTGGGATGTTTATGCTTATACATTAAGAGTCAGCAACGGAATATTTCTAACATAGACGTCTTTAATTTGCATTCTATTGAAACAGTAACATTTTTTATATTTGAATTATTTTATATTAGGTATATTAGTTTGTTTCAAAACTTTATCAAGCAGTTAAAAAAAATTATCTTATTAATTAAAATTGCGTTTGGTAGGTATGTACCGAAACAAAAGCAGTGCAAAACATTCCTCGCACTTTTTTATAAAAAAATAGTAAAAACACGAACACATAAAAAAAGAACCAAAAACAAGTAAACACTAAAACAACAAAAGAACAGAATTCCACGAATAACAAAAAACAAATATTTACACAACTGCCTGGTTTATTTGAACGATGATAAAATTTGCTTATTTCAAATTTTCAGTTATCGCTTCAAAATTTTAACAACTAGTTTATTGTGCATTGGTTTATTTAAGCAGGTTTGTTTGTTTATTTTGAAAGGAATTATTATGCGTTTCGTGTTTTTTTATTTTTGTTCGTGGTGATTCATCCGATGAATCAGTTATAATTTAATATTTTGTTTTTATCGAAACAAGAAGCAGTTTTTTAGAACCTTGTCAAAATATTCAATTGAATCGGTGAGTTCAAATTTAAAATTTTGACAAATTATTTTTATAGTTTAAAATGCATTTTTGTGAGAATGTTTTAACTATTGTACTTACAAAATATGGTTATTATATTTTATAAAATGGTTAAAATATTCTCAAAAAAATGCATTTTAAACTAAAAAAAATTATTTTATAATATATAAAAATATGTGGTTACGGTGAAAAGTTACTATAAGTACCTAACAGAACATTGGGTGTACCAAAAAATGCATTTCCTTACCGTTTTAATTTTCATTTTAAATATTTAATGTTAGGTTAGGTTGGGTGTTGAAGTTTCTCTTCATATTTCTGCTGTCTCGATAATTTAAAAAAAAAACTCAAAAAAGATCGTAGTAAAATTGTTTATTATAACATTTAGATGACGCATAATAATGATGATTTTTTTTATATTTTAGACGCACTCTGCCAACAGATCGCCATTGTTTGCGCACAGTGGAGTAAGTCCACTAGATCAGGTGCGCGTGTGGCGAGATCCCAACCTACTGTTGGAATCTGAACCCCACGTAAGACACGTGAACAGGTAAATATTGCAATTTTTTTTGTCTCGAAATTTAGCCAATCAAAACTCGTCTATAAAACATAGCATAACACAGTTTTAATATTTCAATATTAAAGTTATTCACTGTATTAAAAATAATCACAAAAAAATAGTTGGGTTTGGTAATATACATTAGAAAACTATGTATTCAAATATATTTTTGTTGATTGGCAATATTGATTGAGTTGGTCAAAAGATATCAGTCTAAAATGTAAAATTTTGTGCTTTTAGACCAATCAGAAGAAGAGATTTATCAAAATCATGTAATTCGTTTTTAAGGTAAGTGGTATTTAGAACCTTTTTGTTTATATTAATTTATTTAAATTTAAGTAACCAGAAATGCATAATTTTAGATTCACAGTAATACCTACGTAGTTTTCTACATGTAATTTACATACAGTGTGACCCATTTGTTTGCGACTCACCCCTGTAAAATCTTTATTGTATGGATTTTTGGTGCAAAAAACGCCATATTTTTACAAAATATCAGTTTTTAAGAGTAAATTTTTAAGAATTCATATTAGCGATTATTGTAAACAATATCTAAGTACGGCACTGGATTCACCAACCCTCAAAACGACCCTATACTAAACTTTAAGTAGAAAAATTACTAACAAAAATTTATTCTGTCAAGTTATTCATGAAAAAAACATTGAAATAAAAATAAGTAACATGGTACTATTACTATGTTTAATTTTATTTCAATGTTTTTTCATGGATAACTTGACAGAATAAATTTTTGTAGTTATTATTGTGCATTTTTCTTCTTAAAATTTTTCAAAAAAATTTAGTAAAGGGTCGTTTTGAGGGGTGGTGAATCCAGTGTCTTGCTTGAATTTTGTTTAAAAAAATCGCTAATATGAATTCTTAAAAATTTACTCGTTTAAACTGACATTTGTACAAATAGTTTATCAAGATCTACACTTTAAAACAAATTCGATTAAAATCGCACAATAAATAAAGATTTTACAGGGGTGAGTCGCAAACAAATGGGTCACACTGTATACCCCACCCTGTTAAAACTTTTAACATAAACATTATTTTAGCAGTTTTAAATTTCCTTTTTTAGGTTAAATTAATATGTAGTTTCTGTAACAAGTTTATCTACCTTTTTAGCTCCAAATCCAGTGTAATACTAAAATATATATATATATATATATATTGCATAATAAATTGTCATCATTTGGGGGGATGCTAGTACACGCCAAAACAAGAAAGTTTTTCATTTTTGCGTTTTTTAATAAAAAAGTTGAAATTTTTTTCACAAAACCAGGGAGTTTTACCTCTAAAATCCTGTATCTCAAAATAGTTTATTTAACAAAGTACCTCTAATTTTCAATAAACTATCAGCTGATACAATTTTAATTATAGGTTTTTTCCTGCAATAGTCCCAAGCTGTCAAAGACAGTTGGACGTCTGCGCAATACGACTGCGCAGTACGATTTCGGGCAGCCAAAAATCCTATTGCGCAGGCGTATGAGTGTTTTAGACAGAACCCACTATGAACTGTACCAAATGTCGAATTTTTCGAAGATTTGTTTTATCCACTTTCTGGAAAATCAGGGAAAAGTCGGGGATGCTCAAGGTGATTAGGGAAAGTGACCTGAAAAGTTAGAGAACAATTTACCACTAATTGTATTTCATTCTACAGTCTGAACTTTAATTGCAAAAAATTACAACACCAAAACAAAACACAAAGTGCTTCAAGCATCTTCAGAAGCAAAGTGTAACTAAATCTACCATATTTATACTAATTATAAGCTAAGGTTGACTAATCCGTAGATCGTAACAGCTTTAGTGAACACGTAAAGAGAAACTAACAAACTAATGTATACAAACTAGAGTTGGTATTTCTATTCTTATGGATGTATAAACTTTCATAACTATCTAGCAGACTTGGTTCGCTAACTTCTTTAATAAGTTAGTACTGTATCGTTAGATCTAATCACTAGATGGTAGCTGGCCATCTTTTTCCAATTCTAAGTGAATTTAATAGAGGGAATGGAATTATTCAATTTGGATACAAAATGATCTGAGCTGCAAGCGGTTTGATCGAAAATAGCAAAGATATCGTCCACGTATCTTAATCAAATCTTTGGAAAATACCTCAAAGCGGCTCATGAAAACATCAGCTAAAAACACTTCTGAAGATGCCAAAAGTACTTTGTGTTTTGTTTTGGTGTTGGGGAATATTTCTAGTACTTCTATGGTCAGGAAAATTTGGCAAAAGGGTGAGGAAATGTACTGAGTAAAGTATTTGTTGTAGACATTCAATTTTCTTAGTTTTTTTAAGAAACTTTCTTGACCCATTACTGGTAATATTCATAAGAAAAAATCGAACCTACACCTCGCCAAAGTTTTTTGTTTTGATTGCGTTTCACCAACTTCAAATACCGACAGACAGCTGTTTCGACCTATATTGGGTCTCATCAGTGTCGGGCAACTGAAGTTGGTGAAACGCAATCAAAACAAAAAACGAGGTGTAGGTTCAATTTTTTCTTATGAATATTACCAGTAATGGGTCAAGAAGAAAATTGAATGTTAAATTCTAGATTCCTTTAGGCCATATTAGTACCTGTGATACAATTGCTGTGTGCAGTCCCGGTTGCATAGTATGTACCGATTGCGGCAAAGGCCACGTCGTTTGACGGTGTGGATCCCCTAATGTTCTTACATCTCGCCTCTGTTGACTTAACAACCGAGCATATAAGCTCAGGGAGTAATTAGTTTTGATTGTGTTCCACTACACCAAGTTGCCCGACACTGATGAGACCCAATATAAGTCGAAACAGCTGTCTGTCGGTATTTGAAGTTGGTGGAACGCATTCAAAACAAAAAACTTTGGCGAGGTGTAGGTACAATTTTTTCTTATTTGTTTTAGCGTCCAGCACCAGAGCTTGCTGATGTCGCACCCTTCGGCTTCGGCCTCCGGCGGCCCGCCGCAGACTTCTTCGGCGTCCGCGGCCAGCTTGTACCCGCCAGCCGGCGCCCCCAACTTGATTTCCCCCCACGCGCATCCGTCGATGCATCTGCCCATCGCGCCTGTGTACCTGCAGGACATCTGGAAGCACCAGCAGCGGTATGGCGGCGCTCACCTGCTCACCCCTCCCACGCACACCGAGGAGCTGATGGAGCGGGAGCGGGCCATCATCGACAGAGAAAGGATGATGATGAGGTGGGTGTAGTTGCTATACATATTTTTATGCCGCATTTTCATTTGAAACGTATACATACACTCGAGTAAAGCCGATTTCTATAGGCGACGATTCAGTTATAATTTGCATTTGCTAATGTGTATTTCGAGCGTTTTAACATAAATTAATTTATTTAATTTAAAATTGACATGATAAGCTGGTCTTTACACGGTGGTCAAAACTTAAGTATAGGACGAACAAAAATGCCAACCAACCTGATAGCATATTTTGATTATAGACCCTTTTGGTAACACTAACATGTATTTATCAAAATCCCAGCTGATCCTATTTTAAAGTTTTGCAAACTTTTTTGTTTTTCTATTTCTATATATTATTTTGCAATTATTGTACTAAAACTACCTGTACAATTTTAATAAAATTAAGCAAAATAATAAACTTTGTCATTTAAATTTCTTTACTCCCCAGTATTAATTTATTGAGTCACCTATTATTTTTTACCACTCACAACAAAACATAACAAAAAAACGAAGGTTTATATTAAAACAAAAAATACTGGAAGTTTGTCTATGAAATAATTACAACTTGCAAATTTTGTAAAACAATAATTAAGGTGGTTATGAAAAAAATTGCTATACGTTATAACTCAAGCGACATTTTGCTTTAGTTGTTTATTTAATGTATACCTACTTTATAAAGTTAAAAATAGTATTTTAAAATGAAAATTAAACAGAAATTCAAGTTAAGCCATGAAGAAAATCGAAAGAAGGTATGTGCTGGCTGTGGAGACAAAATTGTTTTTGGTAATCGAAAAATTCAGAGTTTAGGGTTTCTGAGAAAATATAAAAACTACCGCAGACTTTTCCAAACGAACACTTTAAATTAAGTGATTCAAAATTACCTACTTCAATATGGTAAAAACGGTATTTTTGCAAAGCCACAATTGCCAAATTTTCAAAATTTAGAAATTGCTAGAGAATTTCGCGGCAGCCAAGAATGTATGTGCTTTATCTGCAAAATGGCAGGATATAAAGGGCATAAAAAATTATTAAGGGAAGAGGACGGACGAACGAACTAAAGTTTGGATATGCTCTTCCTTTCTAGGGGATATCGCTAGATGTAAGAAACATGTTTGTACAGAGACTGAAGAATTTAAAAATACTGTTTCCATGTTAAAAACAATTTCATGTAAAACCCAAGAAAAAGTTTTACTGAAAATTTAAGGCAAACAGTAATCGATTTTGCTTCAAAGAATCTTTAGTTATTTAAGTATTAGTTTTGTATTAGGTACCTTAAAACAATAAATAAGATATTGCAAACGGTATTTTACATTATTTTGTATTTATAATGTAATTTATCCATATTTCAGTCATGTATCTGCCAAATTTTTAAAAACATTTGATAATGGTACTAGAGTATTTTATCGAAATGGCATAAACAATTTTAAAATACTAAGAAATATGCAAAACTTTAATAAAGGATCAGCTGGGATTTTGATAAATACATTTTTGTGTTACCAAAAGAGTCCATAATCAGATTATGCTATCAGTTTTGGTTGGCATTTTTGTTCGTCCTATACTTTAGTTTTTACCACCGTGTTTAGTCGGCAATTCTCAACGTCAAACAGAACAATAACAAACGTTATCCAAAGGTTTAAAACAATTGGTTGTATTTTGGAGCAAATTAAAATAAGCTTTGAATAAATTATTCAAAGCTTGTGTGCAAATAATAATTTATTATTTTTATTAATTATATAATTTATTTATTTATTTACATTTATTTTAAGAAGTTTGAATTTTAGTTTTGATTTATTTATTTTAATTTGATTTCAAGAGAATTATTTTATTTTAGTTTTTAAAGAGAATTTTTTATGTTCAAACGTTTTTTTTTATAAGAAAACACGTTTAGTTAAATGCAAAAGAAATCATGATTTTACACCTTTTCATTAATAATTTACTGTTAAAAGTGATAACGTTATATTTTAAGTATATGAATCATTTATAAAAGTAAAAATTTATTCTCCCACTCTTAAAAACCGAATGCAGACTGTATATATGTAAAATGAAAATGCGGTATTGTGCATTTTAGTCATGTAGCTGTTGCGTTTGTCACTATAATCTGGGCCCAGAAAATGTTATATTTGTTTGTACATAAATATTATAATTTATGTTACAAGATGGCAAAACTGCGTAGAGTTTTTCACAACAATTTCTAAAAAAGTATTTCTTTAAATTGTTGTAAAAGTGTTAAACACTGCCGTCAAAAATAATACAATATTATAATAAATATTCAAGCAGCGACCAAAATTCGCTTCTGCAAATTGTAGCATATTATAATGCTATATTTGTACATTACGTATAAAATGTTGTTGCATTTTTGGGGGGTTGGATGAGGGGATAAAAAGCCAATATCACTGTAAAATAATGCAAGTTTTATTACTGACTGGTATTAAAATCAACATATTATGCACCTTACAGCTTTAAAATAAATACCTATTTCAGTGACGAATAAAAAAATAAATATTATGGGTGTTTTGAAACGCCCTTATATTGCTCTATTTAAAAATGTGCAAATATAGCTGGTGTTCCATTTAAAATATATATAATATTTAATAAAACCCGTAACTTTTCTAATAAAAGGAATTTTTAATTTTTTTTTGTCCATATATCCTTTTCTAGTTTTTCTATTACTAAAAATGCATTGTTTTTAGATTTTTAAAGAAAAAACGCATTTATACAAGGTATACAAAATTTACAACTTGCGAATAAGTTTACCACAACGATGTACCAAAAAAACACAAACTTGGGTTGTATACAATATATATATATATACAATACTAACGCGTGTAATACTATAGTATTACACGCGTTAGTATTGTTGCGTTCTTCATCACTAAATGCATTATTGCTACAATTTGTTTATTTCTTGTTTTACACAAACAATGCAAATCTTTACAATGGGGTTAGTTGCTTGTTTTACTTATACCAGTACCTACATTTTATTGGGTGCAATATTACCACATTTTTTTACAACAATATTCCATGACTTAATTTAAAACTATTTCTTTTTGTGTATTGATTAATTTAAGTTTTTTTCGCAGAGAAAGGCAACACAACGAATTGGAGAAGCAGAAGGAGAAGGAAAGGCAGGAGAGGGAGAAACACGAGAGGGAGAAGCAGGAGAAGGAGCGGCAAAATCAGGCGCTTCAAAACCACTTTGAAAAGTCCCTCAGGGTGGCAGAGCAAAAGGTATTTAAATTTAAGTTATTTTTTTATGCGTTATGGTGTTTCAAAAAGCGGCATGTTACATGGAAATTCCTTTATTATGTGGAAATAAAAGTCCAGCAAATATCTGCACCCAGCAAATTTAATCGATTAATCAAATAATCGATTATTAAAAAAAATCAATTGGTTTAAGTGTTTTATCAATAAAATTAAACTTTTCCCAACAGTACAGAAAAGTAGCTATCCCATCGCAATATACACTACACCTTAGAGTAAAATAACATCCTTATTTTTTATAAAGTTGAGAATATATTCCAAATACTACAGAAAAAGCACATTTGTGGTAATATATAAAAATACAAGTGGTTAAAATAACCCCTAAAGTTTGTCCCTTAATTTTGCTCCATTAGGTCATGTCTCCTGGGTCACAGCTTTTATAAATGACCTTTTGAATTGAGCGCACATTTTTTTGTGCTGCCCCCTTGCGGCAATGTATTTGGTAACGGATTTTAGTAGGAAATGGTGTTTTGAACTATCTTGAAGCCACAACACGTTTTTTTGTATTTTTTATACCAGCGTGGCAAAACTGTGCGTTCTCGTGTGTCACAGTATTACAAATTAGTAAAGGTACCAGTTGGACTTTGTTTGATTCTCAAAAGAAAGTATCCTGGTAATGGTTTTAAGGGCAAAAATACAAATTTTTATCTTTAAAACAGTAAAGAGGTTATGTTCTAAAAATATACATTTTTCCCCTGGGTCATACGTCTCCTGGATTACATATTGTGTGACTCAGGGGAAGTTATGTGACCCAGGGGACAATTCCAAAGAAATAAATTATAATATATAATAAATTAATATATAATAGCCCATTTAAAATAATGTCCTTCAAATTTTTAATAGTAATTTTCCTAGTCAATGTATTTTGCCTCAAAGAAGTTGGGCCCAGATAAAAAATCGAGAAAAAACTAACTTTTTTTAATGGACATTTTTTAAATCCAGAATATATATTAAATATACTTATGTATGTAAGAAAGTTGAGAAATAGAACATAGTTTTTGCTTTTACTTAGTTTTGTACTTTTAATAAATAATAAATTTGTTCTTTTTTTAAACAAATCCTAGCGGAAATAAAACCTTAGAGGGATTATTAACAATCAAAAAAATATATTTTCAAAATGATTAAGCATTTTTTAATGTTAGTAAATATGTGACCCAGGGGACCATTTTTTTTCTTTTTTAAGGGCTTTTAAAAAAAAATCCAACTGCCCACTTTTAGGTGTTAAATAACACCCCTCAATAAACAAAATTTGGAAAAAGGTTCTGTTTTTACTTTTTTCTTCTTTATATGTACTATGCTCCACACCTCTAAGTCCCACCACGTGACCACGTACGGAACGCAGTCTTTTGAAAATTTGGCATTTAAGGCTTTTCAGGTTATGTATCTGTCAAAGTATAGTCAATGAAAAAAATATTATTTATAGTGTTACCGCTTATGTTTAAGCGTTAAAAGTTAATAAATCTTTATAGTATCACAATAACAATGGTTGGTTTAAGAATTTAGGAATATAAATACTGCATTTAATGAAATTCCAAAGTGTCAGGTGCAATATAAGTATATAACTAAACAGCATTTATTAAAAAAAATCTAACTTTTCTATTATGAAATAATACCTAATATCTGTATCAAAGGTAGTTTAATGTATTAGAACAAAATATATCATCTAACTTTGTATTTTAAGGTTAGAATTAGATTTTGACCAAAATAAATAAGTGGATTATTTGAAAGAGTGTGTTAATATGGTCATAAATAAATATAGGTATACTAAATAATTGTTGAATATAGTTCAAATTAAATGAACGACAAAACTTGTGCATACCTCTCGGCATATCTACTTTAAGTTAGATTATAAGAAAACAAAAATTTTTAGAGAAAATATTTAATAGATACTTCTATGACATGTGATTTTCTAAAAATTTTAAAGTTATAATGATTTTTTGATGTAGATCAAATTCAGTCGAAGCTTTTTAACTATTTGTATTGACAAAACTTTATGTAGGTACACTTTAAGCTGGATAAGAAAAACTACCACATTTTTAAATACCATATTATACAGTCTTTTAAATAATCCAAAATACTTATTTATTTTGGTCAAAATAAATTTTTCTAACCTTAAAATTACAAAATTAGATGATATTTTTGTTATTAAATATTAACCTACCTTTAATACAGATATTCTTATTCCATAATAGAGAAGCTAGATTTTTTTAATAAATGCTGTTTAGTTAAAATTATTCTATGAAGAAAACCAGATATTTGGAGCAAATGCACAAAAATATTACTTATTTGGCACCATACACTTTGGAATTTCATTAAATGCAGTATTTATATTCTTAAATTCTTAAACCATCCATTGTTATTCTAATGTTATGAAGATTTATACATTTTTAACGCCTAAACATAATATTATTTCTTTCGTTGACTATACTTTGACAGATACATAACCTGAAAAGCCTTAAATGCCAAATTTTCAAAAGACTGCGTTCCGTACGAGGTAAAAGAACTTTGAAAAAGACCCTTATAGCAATTCGTTTTTTATCCATTAAAGCAGAGAGGCGAGCAGCAGTGGGCGCCGATCAGCGGCCGGCCTCCGCAACCCAGATCCTCCAGCATGTCCGAGGACGACAGGAAGAGGGCCGAGCAAGACCTCCATCAGAGGCACATGACCTCGATGCGGCCCGACCAGAGGGACCACCGGTCCTACTACCCTCCGGTGCAGAGACCGACCAACGCACCCGCGAAATCCGAGTACCCGCCTCCGCCCGCCCACAGCAGGGGCTCGAGCAAGGCGGACAAGGTCCACCCCACCATGCAGAAGGCCGAGCACGGCCTGTACGGCTACGCCGCGCACCACCAGCAGTTTTTCGAACCAAAGAGCAAGGCCGCAGCGGGGAGCAAGACGGAGGTATTAAGCTTAATTTTCATGTATCACGGTGCTGTTCTGAGAGGTGATTTTTGGACTTTCTGTGAAACCTAATTTTTTTTATATTCTTGTTAATTAGGTCATAACTAAAATTTTAAGAGCAAAATAAAAAAAATTTGACGGTTAATTTTGTTTTAATTGGATGTTTATTAAAAATATGTATGCACACTTTCAATTCTCCAATTAAAACTTGCGATTTTATTTAAATATTATCATAACTTTTTAAATCAGATTAAAGATTCGTTAATTTCCTAAAAAAAGGTCTTATACATTTTTTATATCTTTTACTGTTTTGTTGTAATACACGTTTAAAATTTTAATTTAAGGTTAAATGTATAGTATACATTTATTAAACAATAATTCTAAGGGTGCCACATTTTATTTAGGGCCGATTTATTCATTTTTGATTTATTTGACGAATAATTTCTTTGGATACTAGATATTGCCAAGACATGAAAGTTATCGGCCCGATAAACTTTTCTAAAGATGAATAATTTGGTCCTTAGTTAAATTTCATGAATTTCTTCGTAACTTTTACTAAAATTTTTCATTTTTGTTTATAAAAAACCCTTTAAAAAACTAAACAAAAATTATAGAATACGTATACTGAAAATGACAATTCAAACGTCAAATAAATTTTTAATAGATCTAAGTTTCATGGCAACCTTTAAGGATATATTAATTAAGGGAACATAAATGTATACATCAAAGGTTAGATTAAAAGTTTGAACGTTTATTGCAACAAAACAGTAAAATATATAAAAAAAATTGTAAAAACCTTTTTTTTAGTTATGCAAATATTAAATATTTAAATTAAATCGCTAGTTTTAATTGGATAATTGAAAGAGTGCATAATATTTTTAATAAACAGCCAATTAAAACAATTCAAACCGTCAAATTTTTTTTATTTTGCTCTTAAAATTTTAGTTATGACCTAATTAACAAGAATATGAAAAAAATTAGGTTTCACAGAAAGTCAAAAATCACCTCTCAGAACAGCACCGTGGTATCCGTTTGTCCGTCATCCGTATGTCAGTTTTTCAATAAAATCGTCCGATAAGAAATGTTCTAATTTTCATGCATACGTTTTTTAATGACGTTTAACGGATTGATTTTGCGACAAATAGAAATTAAGTGTCAGTATATTCACTTACTAAATTTACCTAATGCTTAATTGTCATAGTTACAATTATGTCAACAATTGTAACTTTAACAGTTAGCTGTCTAATAAATTTAAAGGTAGGTAAATATACCTTATAAAAAGAATATACTAGCCCTAATATACATTAAAATGTATAGTTTTAAAAAAGCAGGTCCTTTTAGTTCTAGTTTTAATTTTTTTTGTTGGTCCTTTCTTTTTTTCTGTTATTCTTATTAAATAAAAACTTAACAGTAAGACATTATTTACATAACGAACGTAATATTTTTGTTTTACAATCTTATTGAAAAAATATAAAAATATTTGAAAATAAATTATCTTAAAATAACATTAGGCGTCAAAAACAGATGTGTAGTGACGGATGAGTTAAAATTATTTAACCTTTCTCTGTCAGACGTACGAAGTTGAAACTTGACGGACCGATAAAATGTCATAATTAAGCTTTACTAGGGTTGCAACTTTTCATGAAAAGTTGAAATTTTTGAAAAGTTGGGTTTTATTTTTCGGAAAAGTTCGGAAAAGTTGGAAAAGATGGAAAAGTTGAGTTTTTTGTAATGTAAACGTATAAATCATAAATAATGCTTGTCAATGTATTAAAATAATTTATTTCTTATGTATTTATACATAAGTAACAAAATAACAAAAAAAATATCAAACAAAATAAAATGAACAGACAACATAATAACAACAAAAATAAACTAGGTTTGAATTTAAAAAATCATATTTTTTAAGTAAAAAAGAATAGAAATTTATACACACCATAAAACACACATACGAAATAAAAAATAATTACAAAAAAATATGAAGCAAAAATTATTAAATTTATTGTTGTTAAAAATTATGGAAATTTATAAGTAAAAATTTAAAAAGAAAAAGAAAAGAAAACTTTCTTCTTTTCCACTTTTATATTTTCACTTGCAAATTTCCATAATTACAAAAAAATTATTTTTTTCATACTGTGTATAAATTAAAAATACGTTATAATAAAACAATCTTTATGTATATTAGGGTGTTTCAAAAAAATCGACTTTTTCTTTTTCTTCAAATGGTCAGCAAATTCTTTCAGAGGATGTCAAAACAAAGACCTCGTTAAAATTTGAGCTTTTAATTTGAAGATTTAGAGGTCGCGGATCGCAATTTTCTATTTCCCATTTAAATAACATAGGAAATTTTTTTTTTTAACTTTGGAATTTTATACGTCTATATCGAATCAACTTATGGCAAGGAACATCTTAGATTTTTATAGTAAATTTAACGCTCTATAAAAAATGTCTCTTATAATTTTTCTATAAATTGATTTCTTCCAGAGTTATTCGAGGCCAAAGTTTGATTTCCATTGAATTTTCTCGTATTTTCAACTTTTAGCATCATGTAGTAAAAAAATCACATATTTATATCTGAAACATAGGAAGGGTTGTAAAAAAAAACAAAAAAACAAAAAAACGTCACTTTTTTCCAAAGCCTACTACAGTTTTAATGAAAATATGAGATGTGTATAATATGCAGAGTAATTTATATATAAATGCATTTTTCTCGAAAATGGTGCATCTGAGCAATTCAAATCAAGAGTACCTATTTTTCGTAGAAAACTATATTTTCTCATAATTTCATAAAAAAAAAAAATTATTAACCCAGAAAAAAGTTGGGGCTATTTTTGTAACTTTGCCCCCTCCAAATGTTACGCCTATGATTAAATTTTAACAGTTTTGATCATAGATCTAGATTCAGCATGTCAAAATTACCAAAGTACCGAAAGTTCATTTGTTCATGTTCAACCCTCTAGGAATAGTTTTAAAAAAATTATCCTCTTAGGCTCCTATTCAGGGGGCCGTAGCTCCTTTAGGGAGCATTTTTTGATACATGTTTATTAAACAAAAAAAGTGTTATTTTTATACGAATAATGCACTGTTTAAGTTTGGCCCCCTAATTTCGGGACACCCGTATAATGATAATTGTACCAAAAATGTTAAAAAAACGCGAAAATTCGATGGAAATCAAACTTTGGCCTCGAATAACTGGAAGAAATCAATTTATAGAAAAATTATAAGAGACATTTTTTATAGAGCGTTAAATTTACTATAAAAATCTAAGATGTTCCTTGCCATAAGTTGATTCGATATAGACGTATAAAATTCCAAAGTTAAAAAAAAAAATTCCTATGTTATTTAAATGGGAAATAGAAAATTGCGATCCGCGACCTCTAAATCTTCAAATTAAAAGCTCAAATTTTAACAAGGTCTTTGTTTTGACATCCGCTGAAAGAATTTGCTGACCATTTGAAGAAAAAGAAAAAGTCGATTTTTTTGAAACACCCTAATGTATATAATAGAAAATGCTGTTAGCAGACACCATTTTTGATAAAGTTTGACAGAATGTTATTCCAAAAAACAATGCTTTTAGCATGTTTTACTAAAAACACTTCAATTCTAGCGATTTATATCGAATTTTGACCAAATCATCTACCAAAAAAAATTTATGGTAGTGGAAACACTGGTTAGAAGTCAACTCATTGTTCATTAGCTCCCACCTAATAACTTTTCCAACTTTTCCAACTTTTCATAGGGGGTGCCGAACTTTTCCAACTTTCAGGGCTCCCACACCTCCTAAAATTCATAAAATTCCTAAAATTTGGCTTAAATCTTAAAAACTCCTAAAATTCTCCTAAAATTGGCATCAATCTCCTAAAACTCCTAAAAATTAAATAAAAGTGGGCCAACTTGACTGTGTTTAATTAAGGTAGTTTTGCTAAAAAATGTCTTTTTTAAAAAGTAATTATATATATTTTTGGGCTCTAGTTTATTAAATTCTTTTTAAAATGATATAGGTATCACAACCTATATGTTTCTTAAAAAACAACAAAATATACCATAAATCAAAATCCATGTAGTAGCTTCTAGACTTCTACAAAATTGTCATTTTTAGCCATATTTCGTTAATTTTCGACAAAAATATACCGTGTTATATATCAACAAAAGGATTTTTAATTTTCTTTTAATGACAGCTAAAATAGTAAAAAATCTAAAGAATGTTGTAATAATAACATTACAATTATTGTTAGTTATTAACTAAACTGTTAAATTTTTTTTCAAAATATAAATATTACACCATTAAACTTTGGCCTACTTTTTTAGCCATATTCATCGACGCTTTTTTTTTTAATAAAATTAAAAGTGTGGTGAAATTTCTACGTGTAGATATATACAAAAGTAGTAATTTTACCTCACTTTTCATTTTATTAAAAAAAAACTCGTCGAGCGATTTGGCTAAAAAACTAGTCAATATAACCTATTTGTACAAAAGAAGTGATATTTATTTATATTTTTGTTAAAAAGAATTACTTATTTTTTTCTTATTTTTTAAGTGTAGTGTAGAGTTGTTTTTATTTAATTGAATAAATTCATTTGAATACTTTTTTTTCCTAAAATTCTCCAAAAAACCTCCTAAATTCCTAAATAAAATTTGTAATTTAACCGTGGGAGCCCTGAACTTTTCCAACAACTTTTCCAACTTTTCGACCGAACTTTTTCTTGTTTGCAACAATAGGTATTACCGAACCCTCCGCCGCTGGTGAGCGAGGCCAAGACCGTCATCGTGAAGCACGACACGAAGAACCAGCACCACCTGGAGCAGCGGGGGCAGATCGCGCATTCGCCCGGTCCTAAGATGAGGAGCGACATGCTTCAGCATTACCTGCCGGCGTCGAACCAGGCGCCCAAGTCGGGGATCTACGACTACAGGAGCCAGGCGTCGCTCACGCCCAGCCCGCATCACCATTCGGAAGGTCAGAACTCGAAGTCGCCGGGTCACCATCGCGCGAGTCAGCTGCAGAGTCCGCATCACCAAACGCAGAGGCACTCTCCGCACGGGCATCCGAGCCAGCAGCAACAGCACCAACAGGTAAGCAAGATGACTATGGGTTTTAAACAGGGGTGCGTTTTTGTCCACTTTGTTGATTTCGTCCGTGACGTGGTCAAAATTGGACAAAATCGGACAAAATCTAATTTAATTCCTAATTCCACACTGCATTTTATTTTGTATTACCCACAAATATTATAATTATAGCTCTCTAAAAAGAAATTAGTCAAAAATGAGAGGGGTAGGTCGTTATTTTTTAACATTTTTTTTTACACTTTCTTTACACTGAACGAAAAAGGTACGTGATATTAATAAAACAGTACATCAAATCAATGAACGACAACATTAATTTTCAGCCGATGACGGGTGTTATTAATACAATGAGGAGCATGGATCTATGTTTTACTGCAATTAATACGATAAACAGATTTACATCAGTTTATGAATGCTGTACGTTAAATTAATAATCTATGAGCATGGATCTATGAACAGCGGTTGTTAATATAACGACCGTTATGATCAATACGTTAAATCAATAAATAAATAAAACATAGATATATGAAAGCATGTTATTATTATGATAAACGGTAGACATTAGTTTATGATTATTTTACATTGAATCAATAAACAATTACCATAGATCTATGATCCATTATAGTATTGATACTACGAACAAAAAGGCATTAGTTTATGATTTACTTAAATTTACATAAAATCCAAGACAAAACCAATTACAATTATTTGCCAAATTTACTTACCTTTTTATTTAAAATAAAGGTTTACTGGGTACGTGGGTACAATTTGTTTTAGCAACATAGAAAAAGGAAAAAAATATCTTATACAAATTACCCAGCAATCAATCACAAAAGGGGTTTCTTTAAAATAAAGACGTTTTTGGTGAATACATTTTTTTATTGCAAAAGAAATTTACAAATAATATGAACCTTTGGGCTCTACAGAGGTTTACAAAATGCTCTATCTAAAAAGTTCCAAAACTTGCTTTCCTGTAAAAAGTCAAGATTAAATATATAAATAATTTTAAAACATATTTCGACGGCCTTAATTACATGAAATCCTAAATTATTTTATTTAAAATATTAAAAGTGTATATTTTAAAAACTAAAAACTCATGCACTTAAAACTTAAAAATAAAAAAAAAATCCAAAAAAGTAAAAACTGTTTAAAATAACTTCACAAGCTCACACACCTCGGTTTCGTATATTAGGTACAAAACTTAAAAAAATAATCCAAAATGGTCAAAAATGTTTAAAATAACTTCACAAGCTTACACACCTTGACTTCGCTCCATATATTTATCACACTTTCACTAATAAAGCTTTAGGGTTAAACGCGGAACTATCCTTTTGAAGCTATAAGACTGACAAGATAAAAATTGCATGTAAAAATTCTCCACCCAAAAGTCGTGCGATGACCTTCGGTCTACGACAGCGATTCGTTATAATAATGTTTATGTTGATTGAATCAGCTTTCTGCAAAAATTAAAACACGACATATAAGTAAAGTCGTTTATTATTCATTGACAGCATTCCTCGCCGGACATGCGATACCGAAGCGTGTCGGAATCCCAGGCGATGATCTACCCGACGACAAAATCCAGCGCCAACTACCCCGCCTTCCTGTCGGCCACGACGGCGGCGTACGCGATGCCCCCCCAACAAACCGCCGCCGCCAACGCGAAACCGAAAGTGAGCAGCCCGGCGCCGCACCACTTCTACGGCAAGCCGAACGTGCCGCAGACGCAGCAGCTCACGGCCAAACCCGCCGCCTCGTCCCCGTACCAGCCCGCCTCGCAGTACCACCCGCCGCACCTGCAGCACGCGCCGCCCCTCAACTGCCTGCCGCCGCCGGCGCACAGCAGCCGAGTCGATCGGTACGATCAGAGGTTGTACTCGCCCGGCTCGCTGTCGCGCACCTCGCCGCCCACCGCCGCCTCCGCCCCCGTCGCCAGGAGCCACGCGCCGTACGTTTCCGGCGTCACGCCGCCGCCGCTGCCGCCGCACAACGTCGCGTCCGTGCAAACGCAGCCGTTGGACTTGGGGGTGGCGAACAAGTACGAAGCGCCCGCCGCCGCGGTGTCGCCCAAGAGAAAGGCCGCCCCGTGCAGCTTGAGCCCCGTGTGCCTGGAGAAGAAGAGGAAATTGGACTCGCCGAATCAGCAACAAAGCTTGATTTTCGGTGGCCAGCAGCAGCTGCAATTGTCGCGCGTCAGCGAGGCGAGTCCGCTGATAGCGAGCGCCGCCACCACCATAACGACGGTGGTTAACGCCGCCGCCTACCGAACGCCCCCCGTCACGGTAACAAACAACTTTCCCGATTTGAGCGTGACGGCCGTTAACTTGGAACCGGAGACTTTGACTTTGAATCATCCGCGAAGCGTTAGTCCAATAGCGACCGTGGAGGAATCCCCGGGCACGCCGGTGAAAACCCCGAATCCGGCGCCGCCCAGCAGCGTGGACTCGGAAAAATCCAACAGTCCCGGGCCGTCGAAAACGGCGTCGAACTCGAACTACCCGGTGCGGCACTTGAAGAAGGCCTGGTTGCAGCGGCACACGGGGGAAGACGTGGAGGACACGACGGGCGTGGTGGGGTCCGGCAGTTGCGTGACGTTGCCGCTCAACATTAAACCGACCGCGACGGCGATACCTGCCGCCCCCGCGAAAGACAAAGAGAACCCCGTGAACTCGATCCACTCGATCGGTTCGATGGCTGTGAACAGCATAAACAAAACGAAGAATTATAACAAGGGCGGGAACAAAAAGGCGGCGAAAGAAACGCCGGCGGCGGCGGCGAACGGCCACCCGACGGCGGAGCCGAACAAAGCCGACGACTCGTCGAGCTCGGATCAGGAGCGGGGGAGAAAGTCCCCGCCGAAACGAAAGCCGCCGAAGGTGAAGAGAAAAAAGGGCGCTAAGAAAGCGAGCGGCGAAGAGAAAAAACGCAAGACCGGAGGTAAATAGCCGCGTAATCATTGTGTGCATTCTCAGTATTCTAATTGTTTGGTTCTTTTGTGTTAGGTAATCAGTCGACGGTGGCGAGCGAGAGCGGTAGCGAGAGCGAGAAAGAGAGCGGTAGCGAGAAAGACTCGGACTCGGTGGCGAGCAGCGGCGGCGGCAAGAAGGGGGCCGCGTCCGGCTCGAACCCGCCCGGCGGCGGCAAGAAGCGCGGCAGGAGGCCCAAGTCGTCGAAGGGCGAGGAGCCGCGCGCCAAGAAGTCGAAGGAGGATGCGCCGCCGCAGCGCGACCCGTTCCACAAGCCGCCCGTCGGGCAGCTGAAGAAGACGGGGGAGAGCTTCCTGCAGGACGGGCCGTGCTTCGAGGTGGCGCCGAAGCTGGCCAAGTGCCGGGAGTGCCGCTGGACGCCGAACCAGCGCTCGAAGAACATGCCCAACATCTTCTGCCGCTTCTACGCGTTCCGCCGGCTGAGGTACACGAAGAGCGGCCAGCTGGCCATCGCCGGCTTCTCCGATCCGCATAAAGACGCTTTGGAGGTGATTTATGCCGTTTTTGTCCCTTCCAACAACGCCACTGTTTTTTATTTTCGTTTCAGAGCGACCTGAAGCTGTGGCTGCCGAACACCGAGAACCCTCCGGCGGATCTGGACCTGGAAACGTCGAGATTCCTTTTGAAACAAGTCGGCGATCATTTTTGCGATTTGTTGGTTCAAGAGAAAGAAGCCCATGCTGAACATATGTCTGATGGTGAGTCCTAAATTACCCAATTTAAAAAAAGTTTTGATTAAAAATTACAACAAACCAAATTACTCCCTTCAATAATGATAGCTTTAGAAACTTTTTTTTCCTAACATTGAGTACCTACTCCGGCTTAGTTTAACTAACTTTGGGCCGCTGATTACAAAAATGTCATTCGTTTTTCTTTAGGACGCCTAGGATTTAAAATAATTTTGTAATAAAATGCTCTGCTCAATCACCTCAAAATGTAAGGTTTTTTGTTAGTATTTTAATTATTTATTAAATTATTTTGGCTTAAATTTATCTTGAATGTACTGAAGTAATTGGTATACGGAAAATAGATCATATTTAACTTAACAATATGACATTTTATATATTAAAAGTTTAACTAAAATTTTAATGAATATTTGACATTTTTTGTCGTTTATTTTAATTATTAAATTAAAAGGGCCAGACAGTAAACAAGTTTCGGTATTTTTTATCCAAATTAAGCCCACACAATTTAATGCATTGCATAATTTTCTATGAAATATTGCCTTGGTTTTTCTTGGGCGTAAAGGTACCGCAACAAAAACAAAACAAATTTACAACGACGACATAAAGGTTCGTCTCCTTTCTCTTTCTCTGCCACTTCTATTACCACTTCCATTTTCAGCTCAAATACAATTTAAAGTTTAAATTTTAAATGTCAAAAATTAATAGATGCACTCAAAGATAATATTATCTTTGGATGCATTTTAATGTGCTTGAACGATAAAGTAGATAAAGGCGCCTTTATACTGTAATTCGATATTTAATTTTGATAAGACTTAATAAATAAGATTGGAGTTTAAATTTTTGGGTACTTAAGGTATGATGTGAAAAAAAATATTAAATAATAGTCAAAGAGTAATTTTTATACTGAAACTCATTTACTTTGTTGCCTTTTCAATTTAATTAGTAATAAAAAAAACAACACAAAAATTTCAAATAAAATGATACTTTATTGCTTTATTAAATATCCGTTATATAATACTGCTATAGTATATGGCTACAATGGAACAAAAAAATTTAAATTTGACATTTATCTACCGATGACTGTATAAAGTCTAGAGATGCGACTTGAAAAACGGTCCTTTTTTTTCAATGTTTTTTTCAAATGGTTTTTTTCACATTTTATTTTTTTTTAAAGATTAGTCATATTTGCCTAATTTTTTATGTTTCCATTAGCCACTAAATTTTTCAAAAAGCTACCAAAAGCACTTATTTCATGCTTTTTCAAATTCATGTAGAGTAATTCTTGTAGAACATTTATTGGTTAAGTCATAACATTCCGTGGACCAAAAAAGAAAGCAAAAAAAAATCGATTTTTTTTATTACGGTATTCGTTGGGATTAAGCGTTGCACGTCTTTCATCTAAAAATCTCAAAACTAGAAACTTCAAGCTTCAAATTGTTTTTTACGGCTCCAATACGACCATTTTTAACAAAGATACAGCTATCCGAAAAATCGCAAAAATATATTTTTATCCTTTAATTTTTTGTATTAGTGTAGAAGTTTTATATTGCTATTGGTTTCTAATGTGGAAACTATAGTTATAGGTATACCAAATAATAAGAAATCAGATTTTTTAGTCTCAGTCAAAATTTTCAATAATGAAAAATGTAATATATTCTACATTTCACTTTATTATTAATATACATTTTATTCCAAATTTCATTAAAGAAAAACAAAAAAACCGGTTTTTTTCTAGTTTTTTTCACATCTGAAAAAAAAAACCGTTTTTTACATCTCTAATAGAGTCCCTGCATATTTTTGCCAAAAAACATCAAAAATATACTGAACATCCAAAATAGATTAAAGGCAAAATAATTAAATAAATAATCAAAATATAAACGTAAAACTTATAATTGGGCAGAGCATTTTATTACCCAATTATTTCGAATCCTAGGCGTCTTGGAGCAAAACGAGTGGCATTTTTTAAATCAGCAGCCCAAAATTATGTAATATAGGTGGGCCTACTCAATGTTAATTAATTCGATTCGATTCGATTATTGGGTGTCAAAAAAAACCGAAAAAAGGGTATTTTTCAAACATTTATGTTAATTTCATTTTAGTGCAAAAGCAAAAACTTTATTTTAAAAATATAAAATTAAGTGACTATTGATATATCGATATTTTCTCTTCCCAGACTATCAATAATTCAATAGTGGGTTACATCGATAGTTTATCACCTCTACTATCCCTACCACAAAGGAAATCGCAAAAAAAGCTCTTTTTATTGTTGGAATTATTAAAAGTATTAGAAAACCACCCACAAAAACTAACGTTATATTTTTTTGACAGATAAGATAATAGCGTGGAAAAGAGTTGTGCAGGGCGTGAGAGAGATGTGCGATGTGTGCGAGACCACGCTGTTCAACTTCCACTGGGCTTGCGGCAAGTGCGGCTTCGTCGTGTGTTTGGATTGCTACAAGGTACCCAAACCGTTTGAATATTGTTTGCGTAATAGTAATATTAGAGTGTTCAAATGACCGGTCACATTGCGAATGTGACCGTCACTTATAAAAACGTAACAACATTATTTTAAACAATAGCTTGTGTTGAGAGCTTTTCATTGATACCAAATACTTGTATTTTTTTTATTAAATTGGTTAAGTTATTAATAAAAATATGATTCTTTTAATTTTAAACTAAAATTATAGTTTGTAGGTACTTTTCAAAGGCAAATTTTAAAAGCAATCAATTCTTGTGGGTTTTGAATGCATTTAATTTCTATTCATATATCAAAAATACTTTGGAGTATGCCTCAAAGCTCATTATTATTTAAAATTTTTAAACTAACAATCTTAATATTTTTTATAGTTTTGTGTAGCTATGCCTGGCAAAAAAATCTTATATTTGAGCATGCTTGGAGATTTATAAATTAAATTTAATTGCCTCAGCAATTAAATTATTAAATCTTTGAATTTAAACAATTGATTTTCGTATTCTTATCCAGTTTTTATTCATTATTTGAATATCTCATCAATAGTTTGTACTAAAAATTTAGGTATTTTAAAATAGGAAGCATTAAAATTAAAATAATTTGTAAATTTACTATTTACCTTATTAATAAATAATTTTTTTTGAGATCACATTTGCTATACTTAAATAAAACTTTAAAAAACATTAAACATTTTTAAATAAAACATTAAAGAATAAAATATGAAAGTTAATTATTTTATGGCAAAATTTGTGTTATAAAAATGTTTGTCCATCAACAAAAATTGTGTTGGCATCCAGGTTATCATCAAGTTTTTTAATTTCAAATGAATTAGTTTTTTAATGTTATCTGGACATTTTTTTACAGATTTTTAAATGTTTATTCATTCTGGTTGCAAGGCTTATATATTCAACTTTACAAAACACATTTGTCCATTTTTTTACCATTTTATCGAAATAATTCCAAACTATTGCTTACCCTTTTTTTTAAATTAACAATAAAGTTTATTAAATAATCCCGATTAACAAATTCAGACATTATTTACTAACGTTTTAAGGTTAGTGTAGAAGTTGAAGTTAAATTCTTTTGCGATTTACCCGCGAAATTTAAAATCGGTCACTTTTAAAAATTGGTCGGTCACTTATGGTCACATATCGGTCACTTATCGGTCATTTATATAAGTGACGGCCAGTGTTGTAACGTATCTAGTTACAAGTAACTAGATACAGTATCTAGATACTTTTTATGTATCTGTTTGTGTTACTAGTTACTTATCCCAATCTAGTAACTATAACTGTAACTAGTTACAAATTCTAAGTAACTAGGTGTGTTAAGATACAAAGATACATTTTTAATTAAACTGCGACTATTATTTATTAAAAAAAAATATTATAAAAAATAAGTTATTTTAAATAAAATAGAGGAAGTGAGGGTATTTTGGAATAGTAGTTTTAAAAAAAATAGCAAAAAATTTAAATTTAAATTATTTCGATTAAAATAAATAATATGTCCAAGATCTACATTTGTACTATGCCATACGAAAATTTTAAACTATTTAAAATACTTTAAAAGGATTTTTTCACTAATGAAAAAAAAAGGGTAAAAAATCTCTGTTTACGTAACATGAAGTTAATTTGGAATACCACCAATTTGGAATATTTCAAAGTAGCAGCAAATGTTTTATATTAAAAAGGTTAATATAACATTTTAAAAAGGTAACCAAATATTATTTAAAAGAGAAAATTGGATTGATTATCAAATATTACAAAAAATGAATATAATTTGGAATATTTCAAATTTGCATTATTTATAGTATTCCAAATTAGCAATATAAAGACCTACGCCATAATATGTAAAAAAAAGTAAATGCTTTAACATATCGAAAAAGTACAATTAACAACTAAAAATATAACCCTTTACTTACCTGAGGATACAATTTAAGTTAATTTAAAGATAAAAATCGAAGCTATGATTGCCGATTTAATTACCACTAAAAAAGTTTTAGTTACCCCACAATTAATTTTTCACATGTGTTGGCCCTCTACCATAAATCAAAATATCTACAAAATCACATGTCCACAAAATACAGGCTATTCTAGTAGTTTATTTCATATTTAACGAGATGGCGCTAAGCATAGCCTCAATATTATTAATATAAATTTTTTAAAGCAAAAAATAATTTGTATGTATCTTAAAATATCTAGATACTTTTTGAAGGTAACTGTATCTGTAACTAGTTACTGCAATAAAATATGTATCTGTATCTGTATCTAGTTACAAATTTTGGTAAGTAACTGTAACTGTAGCTAGATACTGAAAATATTGTAACTGTTACAACACTGGTGACGGCCAACTCTAGTAATATTAACATAAATCGTCGAATTTCAGAGCCGAAAGAGCGGCACGATGAAGGTGTGGGGCGAGCCGGGCAAGGACAAGGACGAGTTCTCGTGGCTGCTGTGCACGAACCGCTCGGTGCACGAGCAGGAGAAGCTGATGCTCACGCAGATCATCGCCGGCGACTCGCTGCGCAAGCTGGGCCGCCAGGTGCACGAGATGCGCGAGCTGTGGCGCGTCGAGCAGCACTGCGGCTGCCCGCAGGCGTGCCCGGCGCGCTCGCACAAGCAGATCGCCGACGCCATCCTCAGCGAGAAGGCGAACGGCTTCAAGAAGGACCTCAAGAAGGAGATCAAGGAGGAGAGATCTTCCCCGCTGAGCTGGCTGGCGGACGTCGCCCTCTCGAACGAGGAGAAACCGTTGAAGGTAAGGTTGGGACAGTTGAAATTTTCAAATGAAAATTTCAACTTTGAAAGTTTCAAACTTGCACGGTGCTGTTCTGAGAGGTGATTTTTGGACTTTCTGTGAAACCTAATTTTTTTTTATCCTTGTTAATTAAAAATATGTATGCACACTTTCAATTCTCCAATTAAAACTTGCGATTTTATTTAAATATTATCATAACTTCTTAAATCACATTAAAGATAAGTTAATTTCCTAAAAAAAGGTCTATACAGTTTTTATATCTTTTACTGTTTTGTTGTAATATACGTTTAAAGTCTTAATTTAAGGTTAAATGTATAGTATACATTTATTAAACAATAATTCTAAGGGTGCCACATTTTATTTAGGGCCGATTTATTCATTTTTGATTTATTTGACGAATAATTTCTTTGGATACTAGATATTGCCAAGAAATGAAAGTTATCGGCCGGATAAACTTTACTAAAGATGAATAAACCGGTCCTTAGTTAAATTTCATGAATTTCTTCGTAACTTTTACTACAATTTTTCATTTTTGTTTATAAAAAACACTTTAAAAAACTAAACAAAAATTATAGAATACGTATACTGAAAATGACAATTCAAACGTCAAATAAATTTTTAATAGATCTAAGTTTCATGGCAACCTTTAAGGATATATTAATTAAGGGAACATAAATGTATATGTCAAAGTTTAGATTAAAAGTTTGAACGTTTATTGCAACAAAACAGTAAAATATATACAAACAAAATTGTAAAAACCTTTTTTTTAGTTATGCAAATATTAAATATTTAAATTAAATCGCTAGTTTTAATTGGATAATTGAAAGAGTGCATAATATTTTTAATAAACAGCCAATTAAAACAATTCAAACCGTCAAATTTTTTTTATTTTGCTCTTAATTTTAAATTTTAGTTATGACCTAATTAACAAGAATATAAAAAAAATTAGGTTTCACAGAAAGTCCAAAAATCACCTCTCAGAACAGCACCGTGCAAGTTTGAAACTTTCAAACTTGAAATACACTCACGTGCAAAATAATCGATCCACACAAATTTTCGATTAATTTCAATCGCAAATAACTTTTTCATTTGATGTCGGATTTAAACGAATATTAAAGAATATTGTAGATAAATTAATGGACAATCGCTCACATTTTAAAAAATTACTAAAAAATACACGTACGTTTATAATATACAGGTTTAAACAAAAAGATGTTTTTTACCATAAGTTTAAGACACTCTGTAGAGTGGCAAAACCGTATATTGTTTTAAATTAAGTTTTATTTATCAAGTCACATCTATTCTTAACAGTTTTATTTTTGGTTCAACTCGATATATTTATTTTTGTGGAAATGATGGATTTTTTTAAAAAACATTGCAATTTCCAAAATTTTTCCTGTATGAAGAACTAAGGTTGCTATGGTCCGTCCATAGCCTATGGAGAATGACAGTGGCAGTTTTGTTGAATCATTAATTAATGTGTTAATTTTGAGGTGTCTTTTTACTTAAAAATGTCTCCAACTGATGTTGCCCTTTGTACTTTACTTCTTATGACGTTTAAAACACTTGCCACGTAATACTATGACCGTCCATCCTGGATTAAATTAATGGCTCTGGCAACATCAGTCGGAGACATATCCATTTTTTAAAGTAAGAAGACACCTCAAAATTAAAACATTAATTTGCAAAAAACAATTTGATAGCTTTTGAAAGCTGTATATGACATGTCCAAGTATGGGATGATTCAACAAAACTGTCACTGTCATTCTCCATAGGCTATGGATGGACCATAGCAACCTTAGTTCTTCATACAGGAAAAATATTGGAAGTTGCAATGTTTAAAAAAAAAAACATATTTTCCAAAAAAATAAATATATCGAGGTGAACCAAAAACAAAACTGTTAAGAATAGATGCGACTTGATAAATAAAACTTAATTTAGAACAATATACGGTTTTGACACTCTACAGAGTGTTTAAACTTATGGTAAAAAACATCTTTTTGTTTAAACCTGGATATTATAAACGTACGTCTAATTTTTAGTATTTTTTAAGATGTGAGCGATTGTCCATTAATTTATCTACAATATTATTTAATATTCGTTTCAATCCGACATCAAATAAAAAAGTTATTTGCGATTGAAATTCATCGAAAATTTGTGTGGATCGATTATTTTGCACGTGAGTGTATTTCATTTAGTTGGAAAAGTGAAATTTTTAAAAATTTCAAATGAAATTTTCAATCCGAAAATTTCAACATTGCCCGTGAAACTTTCAGAAATTTCATTGAAAGTTTCGCAATTTACTGAAAATTTCGCATAAATTTCACATGCGGCCTCCCCTGGGACCTTCAATAATAATTTACAACAGATTCCGAATCGACCAATAAGAACGAGTTATCAAGCGTCTGGGCGTTTTTGTTTAGTTCAGCTTGGATTTGAATACACTATAAGTAATTATTGTTACTTATATTCATTAATTAATTTAAATAATTTAATTCGGTTACCAATTTAATTTGTAAATTAAATCAGACTTTAAAATTTTTTTAAAAGTCATGATTAATTTAAACTATTACTTTTGCTATAATTGCATCGGAAAACGGATAAAAATGCCTTAGGCCCATAAAATTTTGATGAAGTTTCTTCAATTTTTGTAAAATTTCAGTAAAATATTTAAAAATAATAAATATTTACAGGGTGTTTAATAATATATGCGCAGGACTTCAGGATCTGATAACTCATCCAAAAAGATGAAAAAAGTCGCTATTAACTTACGCTCTAAAATGCACAATTTTCGAGATACAGGGTGTTAAATTTTTGAAAAAAATTCGTTTTTTTTTCGAATATCTCCGGAACCGTTTATCGTACAAAAAACAGCTTTTGTAAGCATTTTCTACCCAAAATAAGCTATGTTTTGTGCCAGAAAAAAAATTTTATTCCTCATAATTGGTGGAGATTTTGAAGGGGTAGCGGGTGTTTTTCTCCTCAACTTCTACGCCCCTGAAAAATGTACAGTTTTGAGAGGCCTATTCGAACCGCCAATGTTTTCTACACAAAAAAGGTACTCTTGGTCATAAGCTCTAAAGTTGACTTTATGTTTAAAAACATGGTCAATTTAAAAAAAAATATTTTTTTTACTAATTAAACAAAATTTATTTTAACGTTAGAACAAGTAACAATACCAAACCATAATTGCAAAATAAAAAATTATTCAAATGTTGTCTTTGCTAAATTCTCCAAACCGTAAAGGTAACGCATTTCGAACATTTCAGCATTTGTGTAAAAAATCATTTTTTATTTTTTTTGTAATTTTGCAATTATCGTTTGGTTTTGTTACTTTTTCTAAAGTTAAAATAAATTTTGTTTAATTAGTAATAAATTTTTTTTTTCAAAAAATTGACCATGTTTTTAAACATAAAAGTTGATTTTTCTCGAAAACGGTCAACTTTTTTGTGTATAAAATATTGGCGGTTCGAATGGGCTTCTCAAAACCGTACTTTTTTCAGGGGCGTTGAAGTTGAGGAGAAAAACACCCGCTACCCCTTCAAAATCTCCACAAAACATAGCTTATTATGAGTAGAAAATGCTTACAAAAGCTGTTTTTTGTACGACAAACGGTTCCAGAGATAATCGAAAAAAACGATTTTTTTTCTAAAATTTCAACACCCTGTATCTCGAAAATTGTGCATTTTAGAGGGTAAGTTAATAGCGACTTTTTTCATCTTTTTGCATGAGCTATCACATCAAGTCCTGCGCATATATTATGAAACACCCTGTATAAATATAAAACAATGAAAGTGGCACAATCTCATTAGCTTGCTAAAAAGTGCTATATCTCTTTTAGTTTTAGTAATTTTAAAAATATTTTAAAAGGAAATCTCAAGAAATTTGTGGTAAACATAGGTATTTACTATTTATATTATTGGTGCAGCGGCCCACAGAGGGGTAGGAGGTATGAGAGGCAATTTGCCATGGTCCCCGAGTGGGCTTATTTCAATATTAATATATTACACTTAAAGTGATTGAAATTTATTGAAAGTTTCATGAAAATTCAGAAATTTAGGAAATTTTAATAAATTTCATAAATGTCTAGTTGAAGGAGGAGAGCAGCAGCAGCAGTGACTCCGAGGAGGGGAATTTCTCCACGCTGCGGGAACTGCTGATACGGCCGTCGCACAAACCCAACGGCAGCCGCGCGACCTCTCCCAACCCGCAGCAGAAGAGCGCCAAGAAAATAAACCCCAAAGGCGACACTTTGGACGACGTGATATCGAGCGTGATCGAGGACAGCGTGCCGAAAGCCGCGGAAACTTCCAGCGAAAGAAAATCGGAGTTAAAACACTTCGTGAGAAGATACAACTGGCAGACCAAAGGCCGCGCTCCGATCCCGATAAGAATCATGACGCTCACGGAGAGTCAAATTCTGTACCCCGACGTGCCGCACAGTTGGCTGTGCGACGGGAAATTGTTGCGCCTCAGCGACCCGATCAACAAGGCCAACTACAAGATTTTCCAGGACCAGTGGCGGCGCGGGCAGCCGGTGATCGTCTCGGACGTGACCAAAAACTTGGAGCGCGACCTGTGGAACCCCGAGGCGTTCGCGCGCGACTTCGGTGAGGATAAAAACGACTTGATCAACTGCATGACGGGGAATCTGGTGCCGAACCAGCCGATGAAGAAGTTCTGGGAGGGTTTCGATCACTTCTCGAAGCGATTGAAAGACGACAGGGGCAATCCGATGCTGCTCAAGCTGAAAGACTGGCCGCCCGGCGAGGATTTCGCCGAGATGCTGCCCTCGCGCTTCAACGACCTCATGCAGGTGAGCTAAAAAAATATTTTTGGTCCTCAGGGCTCCCACACCTCCTAAAACTCGTAAAGTTCCTGGCTTAAATCTTGAAAACTGCCATCAATCTCCTAAAACTCCTTAAAGTTAAATAAATAGGTAGTTGATATATCACAACCTAAATTTTTCTTAAAAACAACAAAATATACATAAAAAACAAAATTTATGTAGACTTCTACAAAATTGTCAGTTTTTGCCATATTTCAACAAAAATATATACCGTGTTATCAAACAAATTTTCTTTTAAATGACAGCTAAAATAGTAAACAATCTAAAGAATGTTTTGCTATTATGAGATTTATGAGTAACCAGATCCACATTACCATTATTGTTAATTATTAATAAAACGGTTAACATTTTTTTCTCAAAATATAAATATAACATCATTTGCGTTTTTTTTTTTAATTAAAATTAAAAGTGTGGTGAAATTTCTACTTGTGGGTATATATGTACAGTTACGGAAAATAGTAATGTCCATTTGAATGCTCCATTGTAATTGTTCGGAGAAATTCTGGTTTTGGTAATAAAATTAACATATTTATTTTTAAACTCAATAATTCTACCTACCTGCTTTTTATCATTCTTTCTACGCACATTTTTTTACTTTTAAGCTTTTATGCAATAATCTAAACCATTTAAATTTTTAAGAAATAAAATTGATTTTAAAATAATATACATATGTTTTATAATTTATTTAATAAACTGTATGTTATTTAATTAGTTGTTATACTAAAATAATTATAAACTTTTGCATATGTATTAAAATATTTATTCTTACTATGTTAATTAAAGCCATTAAAATTTTAAACTAAAATGCATTTTGTGCTTATAAAAAGGAATTCACTTTTACGTTTATATCAACATTTTTATTAATTTTTGTATGAAATAACTGCCCAATATCAATTTATTTCAATGTATAAAAATCCAATAAAATATGAAAACGGCATAAAATTATAATTATTATAATAATCCCAAAGGGTCTAAGTGCTAAAAATAAAATTATGAGTAATCAATGAAAAAATACTTTTTTAAATAATAATTTAATATTTGACCAAATTGGGTCCAAACCCATGCTTCAATTATAATTTGTTCCTACTTTTTCAGCAAAACTAAATTTATGGTAAATTTAGTGGGACCCTTTTTTAAGAAAATATTCTGTTAAAACAATGCGCAAAGAAAGCGGCATTTTTATTTAAAAAGAAATGTTAAATTAATAACAATTTTTTTAATAAAAATGTCGCTTTCTTTGCGTACTGTTTTAGCAGAATATTTTTTTAATGAAAGGGTCCTACTAAATTTTACCATAAATTTAGTTTCGCTGAAAAAGTAGGAAAATCTGGAAAATTTCTATAAGTTCAACTTTTACCTTGAATACCTTTTAAAAGAATTAATTTATCATAAAATGATAACGTAACGCCTTCAATTACCTACAAAAATTTGTTTTAGTTTTATCGGTTGACGAGTTATACAATTTCAAAGTACTTTAAAAAATAAAGGATCTGTAAATTTAATATTAAGAGCTTACATTTTAACAGGACCTTTTTTTTAGATAGTTTCATATCTATGTTAATTTTTTATTATAATTATATTAAACGGTTTTTTAATTTTAATACATAAATAATTATGAGGAAATATATATTTTATAGTTTTGTAGGTATGTTAAATTTTTTATTATAATTATATCAAAGGTTTTTTGATAAATCCTTATATATTTTATTTAAAAATATACCAAATATAAAAATTCCAAATATATTTTTTTTTAATTTTAACACATAAACGTTCCTATGATGTAGAATAGTGTATCATTGCTAGTTCTCAAAAATGTATAGTAAGTTTTAAAAAACTACAACTTGATATATTTTTGGCCTAAAAAGTTATTTTTAAAAGTTTTTCATAGAATAAATGTATAAATTTTATATAAAACTATAAAACAATATTTCAATAAATGAACGATTTAATAAAAATACGGTTAAATATGTAACACACCCAAAATAATTAATTCAATACGAGCAGGAAGTAAATTCTAAATATAGACATATTTTTAAATAATTCCCTGAGAGGTAGATTGAGCATTCAAAGGGACATTACTATTTTCCGTAACTGTACCTCAGATATATACAAAAGTAGTAATTTTACATCACTTTTAATTTTATTGAAAACAACTCGTCGAGCGATTTGGCTAAAAAACTAGTCAATGCAACTTATTTGTACAAAAGAAGTGATTTTTGTTTAAAAGAATTATTTGTTTTTTTCTTATTTTTTAAGTACAGTGTAGAGTTGTTTTTATTTAATTACAGAAATTCATTTGCATACTGTTTCTCCTAAAATTCCTAAAACCACCTAAATTCCTAAATAATTTTTTTTTATCGAATATGTCGAAATGGGAGCTAACAGATTTTAATTTAGGTGCTGCCGTTATCGGAATACACGCACCGCAGCGGCCGGTTAAATCTAGCGAGTCGATTGCCCGAGTGCTTCGTACGGCCCGACCTCGGCCCGAAAATGTACAACGCCTACGGCTCGGCTTTGCACCCCTCCAAAGGCACCACCAACTTGCACCTCGACATATCCGACGCCGTCAACGTGATGGTCTACGTGGGCATACCGAAAGACGGCGACAGCGACGTACACATCAAGGAGGCGTTCCGCGCGATAGACGAGGCCGGCTGCGATATTTTAACGCGGCGGCGGGTGCGCGACAAAGGGGAATTACCGGGGGCGCTGTGGCACATCTACAACGCGCGCGACGCGGATAAAATACGCGATCTGCTGAATAAAGTCGTGGTGGAGAAGGGGGGGGCGCTTGGAGCCCCACCACGACCCCATACACGATCAAAGTTGCTATCTAGATGGTCCTTTACGCGAGCGGTTGTACAAGGAGTACGGGGTGGAGGGTTACGCTATAGTGCAGTGCCTGGGGGATGCCGTTTTTATCCCCGCCGGAGCGCCGCACCAAGTGCGCAATTTACACAACTGCATCAAAGTTGCGGAGGATTTCGTCTCGCCCGAGAACGTCTCGCACTGCTTCCACCTCACGCAGGAGTTCAGGGATCTGACCGACACGCATTCCAACCACGAGGACAAGCTGCAGATCAAGAACATCATCTACCACGCGGTCAAAGACTCGCTCTCGACGCTGAGCAGCATCTTCGAGAAGCACGCCAACGCTAAAGCGGAGGATTCCTCCTCGTCCGAGAAGAACTGATTATGTGATAGTAGTGGACGCCTAGTTGCTATGTGTGATAAATGAGGACGCGAGTGCGTTATTGCAGGGCAATTGTGTGTACATATGTGTACATTCTCGTTTTGTTTTTTTTTGGATAAAGAGCTGAATATGCACGGTTTATCTTCCTGTTAGTAGAAGCCGGCCGAGCCGGCCTATAATTAGCCTATTTCCACACATTCGTCGGACCTGTATAATGTGTTTAAAAAATCGTCAATGTTGTTTCAGAATGCCCAATGATTATTTTTCTCACTTGTAATGTAACTGTGCCTGTTGATTATTAAAAATTTATTGTATATGGTATAAATATGCGCTCGCTATTCAGTATTCTTTCACCACGTCCAGTCGGCCACATTTCTTCAAGTGTGATCAAAATTTTAACGAAAGCATGCAGTATTGGGCAGTTTATCACACTGACTCGCGGATTTTCTTCAATTCTGAAAATTTGTGCAACAGTCGGTATCTTCTCGCAAAAATACAAATTCGCATTGAAAACGCTTTTTAGAACGGTAAATAACATTTTTTGATGTTTAGAAACCATTTTCTAATCAATTTTTTTGGAAAATACTATTTTTCTTATAGTAAATGTGTTTTTTGAAATACAAAAGTGATTTTATGGAAAAGTTTGCGTTAAAAACGCTTTCTAGAACGGTTAAACACATTTTAATTTAATAATTAAAAAAGTGGAAGTAAAAAAAATTGTTTTAATATTTGATAAATGACCTCTTGGGATTTAAAACTCATTTTGGCAATACCACTTTAATTACCTACCATATTCTACTCAAGTTTTATTGCAAAATAATTTTGTAATGCCAAAAAGTAGTTTTTTGGAAAAATTGGAATAAAAAAGTGGTGGTAAAAAAATTGTTATAAAATTAATGTTTAAAAAACGATATCTTGAGATTTAAAACCCATTTTAGCACATGTTTAGATACATAACCTACCATATTATAATCAAAGTTTTTTTGCAATAATAAGTTTTAATTTCCAAAAAGTAGTTTTATGGAAAAATAATAATTTTTATAACAATTTTTTACACACTTTTTCATTTCAATGTTCTAAAAAGCTTTTTTGAACTGCAAAAGTGAAGTTTGCGTTTAAAAAGCTTTTAAAAACGGTAAAACACATTTACGGATAAATTTGTTATAAAATGAATATTCAAAAAGATTTATTGCAAAAATAAGTTTTAAATCCCAAAAAGTAATGTGTTTGAAATACAAAAGTAATTTTATGTAAAAAAAACGCTTTTACTGTAAAACACATTTTACAATAAAATTGGAATGGTAAAAAAATTGTTATAAAATTACTATTACAAAAAACGACTTCTTGGGATTTAAAATCTATTTTAGCAGTACAAATTTGATTACAACATGTTTAGATACATACCAACCATATTTTAATAAAAAAAATTGCAAAAATAAGTTTTTAATAATTTATAACAGCTCTTTTATTACTTTTTTAATTTTATCGTAAAAATCGTAAAATCGCATTTTTAAAGCGAATTTGTTCATAAAATCACTTTTGTAGATCAAAAGTGCATTTTTGTGAGAAAACATAAAAAAATCCCAAAATTGAAGAAATCTGCGAGCGAGTTTAATTAATTGGCCGGGGACTGTATCCACGCAAGGCAATTTACTTATGACGTTTACCCATCAAATACAGTAACTAAATGTTGAATGTTTAGGTGTACAAGAGCCTGAAATCGTAGCATAAGTAAATCGCCCTGCTTTTGTTTATAAAGGGGCAATACTAGTCATAGATATTTCGTTAATGTAGCCGTCTGGACGGAATAATTCCCATATTGTTCCGAATAGTTGTTGTTTAGTGATCTGTTTCACACACGTGTTAAATTACGAACAATCTAAAGTGCTATTTCATTCAAAGTGCCAATTTCTATCCCGTTTACTTTAGACAAGCAAAGAAACTTTTTTTTCGTTGGATTGGCCGAGTGTGGTTTAATTTTTGCGGGGGCAAAGCTGTTAAAAATGATCTCGAACTTACTGTTTACATCGACTAAAATGTTGCATGTCCATTTAGATGCGTGCGAATTTGTGGTAACATGGAGGATTTTTTTAAGTTTTTATTTCGTTTTACGTTTTGTGTGAATGTAAATTTGACTGTCTAAATGGACTTGAAACCTTATTACTAGATCCCACTTACTAGATTTCAAAATCGATTGGTTTTGGACTTTTTTGTATATTTTTTAATTTTATCAGTGAAGTATATGTATATTGTTTATATGTAATCAGGACATATTAATTTATTTGCTTTTACATTAGTTCTTTGTACAGTAGATTATAGACTTTTGTACAGTTTCGAATTATATGTTTCCTTTTTACCTCCACTGAGGTACAATATAGTTTTTTGTACTATGTATATTATGTAAGATTATAGGTTTCAATAAGAAAATGTTTATCAAAAATTTATACGAAGTTTTTTATTTCTTAATCCTTATAAGAGAAAACATTTTTAAGGTATGTATTTTATACAAAAATGCCATCTAAGTTTTTAAAATTATAATTTAACTATAAAAACGTCAAAATTTTAATTGTTTAATAAAATGTTTGCAAATAAAATAAATTTTTTTAACATTGTGTTGTTTTACATTCTAAAATGAGTTTTTGACATTCTAAATTGTTTTTTTGAGATACTAAAATTCGTCTTGGCATTCTTATGGTTTCGACAATTCAAATTTTGTTTTTGAGGATTAAATTTTTTAGATATCTTTAATATTCCAAACGGTTTTTTTTAACACAGCCTCTGCTTGAATTATTTATAATTTTTGAGACAGTTTTCAGATTTATAATGCTTTTAAAGTTTTGAAATGTGTTTCTTACATTCTAAAAGGATTTTTGACATTCCAAATTTTTTTTTTAAGATACTAAAATTTGTCTTGACATTTTTATGGTTTCAGCATTTCACAATTTGTTTTTGAGGTTTAAATTTTTTAGATATTTTTAATGTTCTAAATGGTGATTTTTTGTTTTTTTGTTAACACAGCCTCTGCTTGAATTACTTTTAATTAAAAGAATTTTTGAGATACTTGACACATTTATGTTTTTAATATTCTAAATGTGTTTTTAAAATTTGTATTTTACATTCTAAAATGCGTTTTCAACATTCTAAATTGTTTTTTTGAAATACTAAAATTCGTCTTAAGATATAATTAATATTCTAAATGGTGATTTTTTATGTTTTTTTAATACAGCCTCTGTTTGAAATATTTTTAATTAAAACATTAACTTTTGAGATACTAAAATACTTCTTGACGGTTTTCAAAATTTTTGTTTTTAACATTCTCAATGTGTTTTTAAAATGTGTTTTTTTACATTGTAAAATACGTTTTTGACATTCTAAATTGTTTTTTTTTTGAGATTCTAAAATTCGTCTTGACATTCTTATGGTTTCAGCATATCAATTTGTTTTTGGGTTTTTTTTTTTAGATATTTTTAATATTCTAAATGGTGATTTTTTGTTTTTTTTTTAACACAGCCTCTTCTTGAATTATTTTTAATTAAAACAACTATTTTTGAGATACCAAAATACTTCTTGACATATGTAGAATAGGTAGGTTTTCAAATTTATAATGTTTTTAATATTTTAGGATGTGTTTGTTACTTTCTAAAATGTGTTTTTTATATTCCAATTTTTTTTGGGGATTCTAAAATTCGTCTTGACATTCTTATGGTTTTGGCATTTCACAATTTAAATTTTTTTAGATATTTTAATATTCTAAATGGTGTTTTTAAACACAATAAAATCATTTTCATTGTTTTTAACAAGTTTTTAGCAATAAAAATAATATTTTTGTCCTTTATCTCTTATATATCTTTATTAACTTTTACACTGGTTAAGGAAAAAAAAACAATACAAGTTAAATTAACGCTATTTATTAATTTTATCAATAGATACATAATAAATTTATAAATATATCTAAATTTGTTCAATCAATATTACACAGAAATAATAAATTAATCACGAATTTGTATAAATAAATCTGTAGAAGGGATTATTACGGGAAAATATTTTTTGCTAGCCGCCGAATTCAACCTTCCAAATGTTTAATTTACATTACCTACCTACTAAAAAAAAGAAAAAAATATTTTTCCGCAACAAAGAACTCGCAAAATATTACTTACCTAAAACCGATACAGAAGTAAGTATAAAGGGCATGATTTTAAAGTAATTTTGCAAATGGCAATATTCTTCCTATATTTATCACAAAACCATACGCATAAAAAGTTTTTCATATAATAATCGCGCACACGATTCCCGACATGTCAGTGTTGCACACAAGTACAATTGCTGGCCGATTGATAATTATAATAATTCATTATTAGTAAAATTGCGCAGCAATTGGGATCTGTCAAATGGCGCCGCCTGGTGGAGAAATATGTTATTATTTTTCCTCTTTGTTTTTCACCGAAACTCCAAAATATTGTCCAAAACATCAAGAAAAAAATTCCTTTAAGTTTGAGCCCTTAATTTTGATTCTAAGTACTTCCTTGTCATTTTAAATTATTCCAATTTATTTTCAATCACTTTTATTTAAATTTCTATATTTTTGCCGGGTTTTAAGCTATCATATTGTGGTTTATTGTTACTTACAGAGTATTTAACGCTTTTTAAAACAGCCTTTAAGAATTTTCCTCTAACTCGATTCACCTCGATGGTATCAGCTCTGAAAGTCATTTTTTACTTTTTTCACATACACTCACAGGCAAAATAATCGATCCACACAAATTTTCGATGAATTTCAATCGCAAATAACTTTTTTATTTGATGTCCGATTTAAACGAATATTAAAGAATATTGTAGATAAATTAATGGAGAATCGCTCACATTTTAAAAATTACTAAAAAATACACGTACGTTTATAATATACAGGTTTAAACAAAAAGATGTTTCTTACCATAAGTTTAAGACGCTCTGTAGAGTGGCAAAACCGTATATTGTTCTAAATTAAGTTTTATTTATCAAGTCACATCTATTCTTAACAGTTTTGTTTTTGGTTAACCTCGATATATTTCTTTTTGTGGAAAATATGGATTTTTTTAAAAAAACAAATGCAATTTCCAATATTTTTCTGTATGAAGAACCAAGGTTGCTATGGTCCATCCATGGGCTATGAAGAATGACAGTGACAGTTTTGTTGAATCATCCCATACTTGGACATGTCATACACGGCTTTCAAAAGCTATCAAATTGTTTAATGCAAATTAATGTTTAAATTTTGAGGTGTCTTCTTACTTTAAAAAATGGATATGTCTCCGACTGATGTTACCAGAGCCATTAATTTAATCCAGGATGGACGGTCATAGTATTACGTGGCAAGTGTTTTAAACCTCACAAGAAGTAAAGTACAAAGGACAACATCAGTCGGAGACATTTTTAAAAGTAAGAAGACACCTCAAAATTAACACATTAATTTACAAAAAACAATTTGATAGCTTTTAAAAGCTGTATATGACATGTCCAAGTATGGGATGATTCAACAAAACTGTCATCCTCCATAGCTATGGATGGACCATAGCAACCTTAGTTCTTTACACAGGAAAAATATTGGAAATTGCAATGTTTTTTTAAAAAAATCCATGTTTTCCACAAAAATAAATATATCAAGGTGAACCAAAAACAAAACTGTTAAAAATAGATGTGACTTGATAATTAAAACTTAATTTAGAACAATTTACGGTTTTGCCACTCTACAGAGTGTCTTAAACTTATGGTAAAAAACATATTTTTGTTTAAACCTGTATATTATAAACGTACGTGTATTTTTTAGTAATTTTTAAAATGTGAGCGATTTTCCATTAATGTATCTACAATATTCTTTAATATTTGTTTAAATCCGAAATCAAATAAAAAAGTTATTTTCGATTGAAATTCACCGAAAATTTGTGTGGATCGATTATTTTGCCTGTGAGTGTATTATTGAATATTTTAGGAGAATGGCTTGTCTTACCAAAAAATTTATATTTATATAAGTTGTAGAAAATTTTATTCTCTACAAAAAAGTTCTTAGGTTTATATCACACAGTGCAGTTTACAAGATATTCAGTTAAGTCATGGAAACGAATTTAAGACAAATTAATCTAAAGAAAACTCAAATTTTTCAAATTTTTAAATATTTAAACTCTATAAAGGTAAGGACTTTTTTGTAGCGAATTAAATTTTCTACAACTTTTTCCTTTAACATTTTTCGGTAAGACAAGCCGTTCTCTTGATATTTTCAAAAATATGTGAAAAAAGTAAAAAAAAAAATGACTTTCAGAGCTGATACCATCCATCAAGGTGAATCAAGTTGGAAAAAAATTCTTAAAGGCTCTTTGAAAAAGCGTTAAGAACTCTGGTGATAACAATGAACCACAATATGATGGCTTAAAACTCGGCTAAGATATAGAAATTTAAAAAAAAGTGATTGAAACTCATGATTTAAAAAAAAATCAAAAATCAATTTTTTAATTATAAGCATAAAAATAACTTGACTATAATAATATTATAGTGGCACTCCTTTATAAACAAATATATATTTTATTAGTATATTCCTTTATTATTTTATTTAACAAAATAAGCAGTTTTTCTATGCATGTGAATTTATTTAAATAGTGCTTTAGTTTTATATCTTTTAAGTGTTTTTTTAGATTTTAGAAACTTTTTTTAAAACTTGATTTAAATCGTGATTTTAGTTAGTTTAATGAAGAGTGTATTAAATATTAAATAATTTTATTAGTTGCCTAATTATTTTTTTATTTCGTTCTTTATTTTTTCCACAATTTATTCTTCAAAAAAGATTTCACGTATTTAAAGCCCCTCTCATTCGACAGATCCCAATAATAATAATACGTTATTTTGTAAAATGTATTTAATATATAAATTATTTTTCTCACATCTACTTTTTTATGTATTAAATCAAATACATAAAAGATATAATTGTTAAAAAGTATTCAGTTTAACTGAAGCGTCATATTTAAAAAAGTAAAAATATCAATCGTGCCGCAATCGACCGTCGGCAAAAAACGACATGTTGTCATCAAGTGACCTAGTTGAGACGCTGCGTTGCCGGTATGCGTTTCTTCCTGCGACGTTGCGTCGAGATCCAGTGCTCGAAGTGGCGCTCGTTGTCGAGCCACTCCTGGTACTTGTACCACCACTCCTCCCACTTGACGTAGTCGTCGAGGCTGAGGTCCCTGAGGTAGCCCAGGTCTTTGTAGTACTGGTAGCGCACGCGCACGTCGTCCCAGGCGGCCATGTTGGACGGACCGGAGCCGTCGCGCGGCAGCAGCTCTTCCGGAAAGTGGCCCGCCGGAACCGGAGATATGCTGCGCAACACGATTTTTTTTAAACATGCATTCTATACACAGCAAACGGAAAAAGTTTACAGGATGACTCCCCGTTTAAATACCAAATCTTAAACGTTTTATCA